ATCTGTGCGTTTCTCACTGAGTAAACATTTAGTTTCTACTTGTAGTACCCTCCGACTCAAGGACTTCATCGGAGTGCTGGGGAGGAGGGGGGATGACGAAATAACAAGGCGTTCGCTTGACCGAGTCGATCCGGACTACGGACTATTTCGTATGGCGGACGCAAACAGACAAGATGCTCATTTTCCCACAATCCCACTCCTAATGGCAGACGTAGGTGTGCTAAAAGAAGGCTAGTGGTTTAGCCCCAAAATTTGTATTTGTTGGTCGCGTTGGCGATCATATCTGTTAGTCTTCTGGTGGACTATTCTGATGCTGATGATGAACCCCAAGCTTGACGAGAAGTGAGCCGGAATGTGACGCAGTAGAAGACTCAAATGTAGAAGACGAAGTTTTGCTACGCCGTGCTATTTGCATCAAAAAAAGACAAAGAAAATAAAGTAAAAAAGGTGTACAAAAGTACTTCCGATTGGAAATACACAATTCCTCCCCTTCATTGATGGGAAATTAATGGCGAACGGTACAAGAGAGCCATCCAGCATGTACTGTCGTGAGTGTTTCTTCCGTTTCCGTTGGCATTGTATGCAAATGAACTGCTCCTGTAAGGAGTCTTTGTACGGATTACATATATGTATGTCAAGAGTACAGGTACAAAACTATTTCCGAATTCAACATCTGACGGAGAAGCGAGTAGAAAAGTAAACAGATCACGCCCAATCTCCGCGCTTCTGTTCGGGCCTGACTCAATTTTGCCGTGGGACTCCCGGACTCTCATCACTCTTGCACTTTTTGCCAAGTGCGACATAGGCTCTCTCTTTAATATCAGTACTTCCACCGAAACCCTGGTCACACTTATTCCAATCAATGCCATAGAAGTGATGCGAACCGCAACTACTTTCATAACGATTATTTTATTCTTTTAGCTTAATAGTCATTGGCACAAGATGCCTTGAAAGAACAACTTAATCAAATCCCCTACATACTATTTTTGACGCTCTCGTTTATTAAGTTGATTGCATAAATCTAATAAATATGTAATGGTACCGCTATGCGATATAAGAATAGAAATTTTAAACGAACACGATCGGGTCAAGATTTCATGGTATTGAAAAAGTACTTGTGATGACATGTATGCTTTGTATTGTTGCGCTAAGTCAAGGTACCCATTCAATGTGGAGTCTTTCCATGGACAAAAAGGTACCAGCGTGATACGTGCCAGCGACGAATTGCCACGAGCAAAATTAAATCAGCCTTACTACGCAAGGCCATTCCGCACGATGGCTTGATTTCTTTAGATACAATACTACGACGTACAGACCAGAAGCTTCGAAGGCGCAAGAAGGACTACCGAAGTGTCGACAGAATATGAGGGAAGATGAAAACAAACTTGCATGCAGCTGCAAAGTGGGACCCGTCACCAGAAGGCGCATTGGGGAGGAAATAGTGACGAAGACGATGGGACCTCGGGGAGGTAGGGGTCCGGAATGACTGGGGGTGTGTAAGTTACGACATATCCTCTTGTGTAATACGGGGTACTTTTCGTTCTTCTTGTCGTGTATTCCGTATTTTTCAAGGCTCGTGGAGTCGGTCGTCCCAAGGGAGGGCAAAGCGACAGGGGTAAAGGTCTAGGGTGGGATGGGGAACCACAAATGGCTACCGCTCACTTTTTCGGTACGCGATGTTAAGATGAGAATGCTCCGTCACATATATGTAGAGACCACGGTACGAACAAAGAACAATTCCATTTCTCCACCAAAAAGAAGAAGGCAAGAAACGACGAGAAGACCGAAGCAAGAAAGCCGCTCGCAGAAGCGGTTGGAAGAATATCCTTACGCACAACGACTAACCATATTCTGCATACGCGCAACACACAAGACGCAGCACAGCGTCATGTGTGACCAGCGAGCACCGCGATGGCGGGCGGCGCAAGTGGGCTATGAGCACCCCAGTCCCTCATCTTTACCCCTGTCCATGACAGGGGTCTGGGTGGTTTTTCAAATGGGTGGGAAAATGAACTAAATTTAAAATAAGAAAAAATAAAAGTACATCATACGTCGCCATCAGTATGTATTCTGTACCCAATGAGCCAATTAAGAAATAAATGGGCCGCGTCAACAGACTGGGGCAACTTTTCTCATGGGGTATTACGGCCTCCGGCAAACATTCCGAGGAGGATGCATAGGACAGGAAACGGGGAATGAGTTACGGAACGAAGGGGGCAAGAAGGGGTGACGGAAAATACAACAAAATAAGAACTAGCAAAGAGCTGTTGGATGCCACAACAGGAGCATTACGGAAATGAGACAGCAAAAGTACTCTGTATCCTGGTATCCTGGTACAGAGTTAGGAGTACTTTGTGGTCAAAGTTGAAAAGGGCGACAGCCATCGCCTGCCCTGTGCTCTGCATGCAGCTCGGGAAGGAAGGTACCGGCAGTAGCCTGTAAAGAGATGGAGTTTACGAAGAGGCCAGGGTATTAGCAAAAAACCAGGACAAGACAGACACTTGACCGAACACAAATAAGCCATCTTGGGACAGGATACAATATCTCTGTAACGAGACATATAAGCAGTGATGTTTTCTATTTCCACTCAGTATTGGCAGTCAACAACCAGTTGCGCGACGTATTTGGCGTCGTTCTTGAAGGGCCATTCGAAACTGTGCTGAGATAAAAGAAATTTAGGGACATGGACGGCGCAATAACAGCGCTCGAGACGACGTCCGGCCTACCCGATTAGATCGACAATGGACCTCGACGTCTGAAATACTTGCTCTGCGCATTTTGCATCTGCTCCCTACACTATAAAATCTTGGCAATAAGTCAAGTCTCGCCGCAAGATCCATGTTTTGTGAATGCTGGTGAGAGGACGAGAAGAACGTCGTCGTACTCGCATACAACAACACTCCATACATGCCTTTCCGAGAAAAACAGAGAATGAGAGCACAAACCAAAGCTTCCGCCATGCATTTGCGCCACTGCGGCGTAATTGAGGATGGCATATCCTGTACCCAGATCTCCGGGTCCTGCTCGTTCAAAGAGGAAAGGGAACCATGACGAACCGCAGTATCATATTTGGAGATCGAACCTTCTTTGTCTTCGCTGTTCGTAACCAGACAGTTGGCATCCTAAGGCTGTACACCTTTATCTTGGTCTCGCGTGCGATTTCCTGCCAGTCATGCAGATGGTTTTTGGTTACCCGGTCTCTGGGTCCGGGACTTGACAAAAAAGCCGATGGGTGCAATGCAAGCTACCATTTTCGGCAATTCATATATTTTCTGAGGTTGGAGAAACGAGACCAAAAAAGGCGGGTAAAAAGAAATGCAAAGAGACACTTCAACTTTATTGACTGTTGCTGTGTAGCTCTGTTCAGTGCGTTCGGACGCTGAATGTTTCGTGTGGCAGCACCCTTGGGAAACTACAAGGGTCAAATGAGAGGGACGGGGAAAGAAGGGCCCCCCTTGTTGCCGTTTGGTGTCCAAGACTGCAAGTGTGCAACCGAAAAGAACAGCCTTCCTAGGCGTCGATTAACAGCGCTCGAGCACCGTCCGTTCTCTTGCAGAGTGTCTTGTGCGCAAATTCAGACCTCGCTAGACGTTTGATGCACATGTTGAAGCTAGGAACGTCGCTTACTCTACGAAGCACGGATCAGTGCACGGATGGATAAAACGATTTACCACGAATGTACATGCGGCACGGCGCGTAACATGGATGTGGTCCGGTCCCCCCGGTATGCGTCCAGGAGAAGGTGAAGTACAGAGCGTAAAGGGAGGCATAAACACACACATAAAACCCGAAAGTCACCCCGTGCATCTTTGTCAACTCCATGCATACAGTTCTTCGCACGACTTGGTCATTTTGACCTTGTTTTATGTTTGCCACTGTCTGCGCAGCACTGGCTTAGCACAGACGGATCCTGCGAGTGTAGAAAAGAATACAAGGGAAGGAAAACCGGAGTCACCGACATCCTGCATCATGACAAAAATAATATGAAAACAGCAATTGATGCACAGACCAGCTTCATATTCGCCTTGTCTCGCCCCCTTGCAGTTCACACCTTCACCTAGCGATCGTTCGTGGGGGGCAGGCCGTCGACGAAAGAGGGTAATCGGTCACCCATTCTTCACCGTATCTTTGAATTCACAATACTTTTACGACATATTTACTTACATACGGCAGTACATTGGCTTTCGCGATGCCTTACCGAGTAAAGATGTCATATCCTTGACCGACTTTTCAAGCCTCCCTGTCTTTACACAAGCCTTGCGTCTTGCATAAGACCCCCAACCATAATGAAGTGGCCGGCGACACGTCGCAGTATCAAAGTAAAGGTGAAGGTGTCAATGTGAGCTGAGTATATGTGATTGGAATAGAAGAGGGTTCTGTTTTGAAAGCTATGGCTCGGTCTGGGGCTTAAGATATGAGTGAAACTACGCGGTAGTAATTCAATCGTTGAATGGTACTTTGCTTGTCGGTTTCAACTCCACCGGCTGCGTGGTATATAAAATAACTTGCATGTAGTGAAAAGGCATACAAAATATTATAATTTTAAGATTGGGACTGTACAAGCTTTGATACTGAAATGGTATGCTTTGAAGGCTGTGGTATTTTTTATCGCAGAAAATAAAATTTTGTACATCTATAATAAGTACGACAAACCTCAACGAGTGAACCAACAAGTAAGTGAAAAACGCGCAACGACTACTCCAAGGGACGAATTCCTATATCGTCTTAGTCACAATTTTTAAGATAAAATGCACGTATGGAAGGCACCGACAAATGTTGTGCATGGAGCTCCGTATTTGGCGTGGAATTGCCTCTTTGGGCACGGGATGGTGGATGGGACCGTGGGAGGCAGGTGCGGATAGTGGAATACGCGGGATGACGGCAGGCGCCATCGGACGGCGTACGAGGAATACCCCTATCTATTTATGCGACATGTAGGAATTGCTTAGTGTTGGATATCCTCCAACATTGCGTCATTTTTCTTCGTTGACATGTTCGACATGACCACTCATTGCGTACACAAGCGCGAAATATCGTGGGATTTGGGCGATAGGACACATGGTCAGTGGACTGCAAACCGGCGTTGTACCGGAGAAAAAGGATAAGGGAAGCAGGCGAATGAGAAACGAAATTCGCACGGCGGCAGACAACGGCGACAACACTTCGAGGAGAATTCCAACAAAGCAAGGAAACTTGACGTCGAATACTCCATATACAACGGCGTCAAACCCGGCCAGACCGCGGCCAACAGCTGGTGGGAAAAGGGCGCGGCGACAGTGGCCTGGCGAATTGGCGAAATCCGGATCCCAGGGCCGTTTTCCGGGCCAAATATCCCATTCTCACGGCCCGCATCCTCTATCAAGTCGCTTTTCCTCGGGGCTATTACATTACGGCCCGGGCTCGATGCTGTGGCGCTGGCTTGTTTGCTTCCAGGACAAACAATGCATGCGCAATGGGAGTCAACTTCTAAGACGAGGGCGAAGAGGACTGACAAAGTTTGGCAGATGACGGTAGCAGATCGGAGACAAAGTTCCACTGGCAGTTAACTGGCCGCGCCTCTGCAGAAGCTAGAGCTTCACTAGATTCCGCGGGTCGGGTCAGCGATAAGCTTGCGAAATGGCCGTTTTCGGTCGCTTCGTGTCGCATTCTGGAGCATTTGTGGGACTGCTTTTGTGTGCTTTCTGCGCTCAGGATCCGATGAATTCAGCCGGTATCCTGCGCTAATTGCCAGGTGGACCTTAGATTCGGACCAAGGCTCTTTATATAGATCGGGACGTCGTGCTTCGACGGACGAAGGAGAAAAGAATCGAGACGAAGAAAAGCGCTGCTCGAAATACAGAAAAGGAGACGAGACGCCACGACCGGACGGCCAGACGACTAGACGAACAGACGACAATAAAACAAATAATAACTTTGAAGCATCTGGTACCGGCGACCAACACATGTCATTGCAGCTGCAGCTCAGACACACCAGCACAACTGTACCCCCCGCACAATATGGCCAGCAGCATCCCAGTCTGGGAGGTCAAGGAGCCGTATCTTGACCTCCACTGCCAGCTCGGCGAGGGTCCCTTTTACGAAGCGGAGACACACAGCCTACGCTTCGTCGACATCATCCAACACCGTGTTCATACCGTCGACTTAGCGGCGGGGCCGTCGTCGCTGCACACTCTCCAGCTAGACGTACCAGTCTCGGTGACGGCCGACATTGAGGATGTCGACCCGCGCGAAAAGATCCTGGTCGGCCTCAAGTACGGCCTGGCCGTTCTCGACCGCAAGACGAGCAAATACGAGTACCTGCACCATTTCAGCGAAAGCGCCGAGCTCAGCAAGAGCAAGGCACCCGTCGATTTTGAGCGCATCCGTGGCAACGACGGCGCAGCCGACCCGAACGGACGATTCTGGCTCGGTTCCATGACCGACTTTAACCTGGGCGAATTCCAGCCCGAGGGTAGGTTGCCAGTACTGGCGTAATACATGAATAAATGCAGAGCCCACTCTCCAGAGTGCGCCGTACAGAACAGAATTGATACTGACTGAACCGCTCTCAGGCGGCCTGTTTCGCATCGAGGCGGGTGCCAAGTCGGGCACGTTGATCCGCCCCGACTTGACTATCCCCAATGCTGTTGGCTTCTCGCCAGACAACCGCACCCTGTACTTTACCCACACGCCCGACCAGGCCGTCTATGCCTTTGACTACGACCCGGACAGCGGCGACGTCTCTAACGAGCGCGTGGTCTACAAGCACAACGGGACTGGCTCGCCTGACGGGTTCCGCGTCGACGTTGAGGGCAACATCTGGCACGCCTTTTACGGCTCGGGCCAAGTGCTCAAGATCTCGCCCAAGGACGGCAGCGTCATTGGCGAGATCCGCCTGCCCACAAACAACATCACCTGCACACAATTTGTTGGCACCGAGCTGTACATTACGACAGCCGCGGACGAAGACGCCGAGGGCGGCGAGACGAGCAAGAAGTATGGCGGTGGCCTGTTCCGTGTGGATGTGGGCGTCGAGGGCCTGCCGCTCTTCAAGTTCAAGCTCAACGCATGAGAGCGATGTCGAGCCCGTCAACATGCATGGCTTCAACGACAAAGAACTAGTGAACAAAAATCAAATAAAGAGCTATGAAACCTAATACAATACGCCGCTTCCTTGGTCGAAAGTGGAGGACAAACTTGCAATTGGGCATCACTGCATCGACTTGATGTGTTGTACTGTTTTGCGCATGGGCAGATATGGTGGAGAACAGCGTCTTACTCGCTTGTCTGACTAGGCACCAACAATTTTTTTCTTCTTTTTCGGCAGGATGATCACCCACAAGGCATAGCATCAAGGAGAACCTTATTCCTAGCAACGAGGTAAAGAGATTGCCAAAATGAAAGCATCGAAGGAAGTCTGTCATAGGTCGTCAATGATGGATGGATGGTAGGATCATGAAATGAAGAGCGAGCGGATCATCGTCCGTAAAATAAGCAATGCATCCCATTGTGACTTTAAACGCCACCGTAAAAGGAGAAAATGCTGCCATGACGATGCGATTCGCTACCTGGAATAATTGGGCTAGAATGACCGCCTTGGGATCCTGGTTCGGGACTACGACGTGATGCCTCGCTTTAAATATGGGGACATGTACAAAGTTCATGGACGCTGCTGGCCACTCATATTCAAATAGACGGGGCCTTCGCCCCAAACCTCACCTCCAGACCCCCGTTCTCAACTACCAGGAGTTCTCAGCAGGTGACCGTCCCAAAAGCGGCAGTCGGTCAATACGTCGTACGTATACGAAGTACTCCGCATCCACCTCGCAAACTACATCTCGTCGTACGTACCGACCACGTACTCGTTGTAAAATAGAGTGCGGCAAATTTAACCCTATCGCGAGCATAGGATGTAGCTGCTGGCTTCCTGGGCATATTTTCGATGACGGGCAACTTTCACAGTAGTATCGTCATGGTCCCATTGCGTCGCAAATGCAGTATCACAGGACTCAAGTAGATTAGAAGTGTACGACGTCGGACTTCGTGACCGCCTTATTCCGTTCTGATATGAATCACATGATGAAATTTCATGCGAGCCTTGTGTGGGGGAGTATCCTTGTTCGTCAAATTCTCCGAACGTGTTTACTTCGTAGACTGAGGAATGGGAAATACCAAGCAAGCAATTCAGGGAAGAGGAAAAGAAAAAGGGCGTGCCCAATCTGGTTGTCATAAAGGGCTATCAAAATCAAAACACGATACAACCCTGGTGCCGGACCAAACAATCAGGGAAGTGTGTGCAAGGGAAGGGGAAAGCCGAGTGAAAAAAATCAGGAATGATGGTACAATAGTGACAGAGCGAATGCTGAACCAGTACGGCAGTGCAATGGCTGCTGTCAATACTGGGAACGGGAAAATTGTTGGATTATCCCGTACAGACAGATGGACGTTGCTCATAGCCCTCCTGACAAGGTAAGTGGTTAAACCAGGCCCGAAACCGTTGAAAATAGCAAGACGGGTTCCACCTCCAAGGCAACGCGGCGTCGCCCTGTCACTGGGATGGAATAAAAGAACAAGAATGTCAGAAACGCGGGTCCTCGGAGAAGGACCATTGGCCCGCATGTTTACATGTTCGATGCCACCCCAAGGTAATGTTGCTAGGGTGGAGTCTTGGAGTGCCCGGCAGCCTCCTCTTAAAGTTTGGTACGCGAGAGAGCCCGACCCATCACTTCTCCTCTTGCCTTCCTACCGTACCATCCTGTCATTTCATCCTTGGAGACCCGGGGCCTGTTCTTCGCTGGGGGTCATTCTAAAGGGTGTGCAGCCCTCTCGTTCTGGAACCTGTCAAACGGAAATGAAATGATACGTCTTTTTGCTACGTGTATTTGGCCCCTCCCTTTCGTTTTCTTCTCCACAGTAGCCGCATTCCGAGGCTGAGCAAAGAATGGGCGAGTGAGGGAAATGGTGGACTCGAGTAGCATTTGAAGTTTTGGCGGCCGGCATCGCATCTACCAAAAGAGAGAGAGAAGAGAGAGAGAGAAAGCGAAAAAGGAGTGTATCCAGTGTCGCCTCGGCCAAACATGGCCACGACGACGTATCAGAGTGTTGTCAATACGTTGGGGATTCGATGCCTGTGTGTCAGCTGTCGAAACTAACAAATCTGGTGAGATATGAGGGCCACAAAAAGAAAATGAAAATCAGGGGTGGTAGAGACGGGATCGAATAAGAAATATGCCGGGCTATTATTACACCTTCACCTTGCCATGAAGAGAACAAGGTTTTTGTTGATGGAAGTGATTGTGGAGCAACGGGGGGATCCGTAGTAACACCATGAGTGAGAACAGTACGACCACGCAAGTTTGCAAAGAAGGCAGAGTTCAAAAACAGGAATAAGGTATCGTTGGTGAATCTAGTTGGTAGTATCAAAGTGTGAGGTTTCATGGCTGTGCCGTTCCGTGTCCCAAAATGACAAATGAAATAAATCCAATATCAAACAAAACAAAACAAAGAATGTAAGTCCAAACTCGGGACAATCGCTGATGCTCTTTTTGTGGCACAAGCAGAAAGCAGGCTACAGTCGAATCCGACCTTCGTTGTTGCCTCCAAACCACCTTCGGATGCCGTTGTCGTTTGCGGGCGCTGGTGCATTGCTGTTGCTACTGCTGCCGGCAGCGTCATCGTTGTCGCCGGACATCCACTTGGGCTTCTTGAAACCCTGTCCAATCTCCTGGAACCATTTGGGCGCCTCGATCGTGCCCATGGTGTTCTTCATGCGGTGGCCGAGCTGCTGGAAGATGTTATCGTCTTCCTCGTCCTCTTCGTCGTAGTACGGCCGCTGCTGTGCCTGGTTCTGTCTCCGACCCGAGGATGAGGATGCACCGCCCGCAGTACCAAGAGTCCTTGTCCGCGCACTCGGTGCCGTCGGTAGGATGCCCGAGCTGGACGGCGATACGGCAAACGGCGTCGTGGGGTTGGCACCTTCAGACGACGACAGGATGTCTTCAGGGTCGTCCTCATAGGCAGGGCCATTGCGGCGTCCACCAGGGACAACCATGACGGGACCATGGCGGCCCCCCGCGGCGGTATCGCCTGCCCCTAAACGACCGGCAGCCTCCTGCCGGCGCTGTCGAATCGACGTGCCGTTGAGCTCGCGCTCGAGCAGGTCCCGGCCCTCACGCCACGAGCCCGTGCCGTAGTTGCGCAGGCGGCCATCCTCGTCGTAATCCTCGTCCTCGTCGTCGTCCGCGCCAAACTCGGTGCCGTAGCCGAAGAAGCGCCGCACGCGGCCGTACAGGCCAAACAGCGTTGCCAGGACGGGGAACAGAATGAACGTGGGCAGCAGGTAGTCGAACCAGGTGCCCAGCCGCGTGAAAGTAATCAGGCGGCCTAAGAAGTTGAAGAAGACCGTTTTCTTGTAGATGCTCGAAGACAGGAACGTCATAAAGTTGTACGACAGCGGAATGCTGAGGCGTGCCACCTGCGACGCGTACCAGAACGCCGACTCGTGGGCGGTGTTGCGCTTGACGAGCGCGCGCCCGCGCCACACTTTGACCTCGGTGATGGATATCAGGGCCGCGGCGCACATGTATAAGATCCATCCCGTGGCAATGAGCTGGCCTGCGAAGCCCACCTGGCCCTTGTCGCCGGTCCAGTGATGGACGACGGTGAGGCGAATGACGGATGCTTCGGGCAGCGCCGCCTTGACCAACTCTGACCAGACAATGCAGGCGGAGGCGAGGGCAAGAATAACGCCAAACAACATGCGGGCAAGGGGCACCACGTGGTAGTAGACGAGGTAGCGCTGGTAAGGCGAAAGGATGGACACGCGGTCCCAAAGAGTGTCGGTGGCTTTGGGCTTGGGGAGCTCGAGCCGCTTGTGAGTCGCCGAGTTGAGGACGGCCTGCGTCTCAGAGTACCGCTGCAGCAAGTAGCTCCACTCGCTCGCATAGCGAGAGCGGGCGTGGCGTGCACGGACGAGACGCCGCGTCAAGTCCGCCATGTACTTCTTGGTGATGACCGTCGGCACGATCCGGTCGTCGGCGGAGGCTGCGGATGTGCGCGAGCCGATGCCCGTACCGCCTGTTCGTGTGTTGCTATCGGCGAGGCTGATGCCCTCGTTGATCTCCTCGATCCACTCGCGGTAGTCGAGCGCAGACCCAGTCTTGCGCTGACCGAGTTCGACGACTTGCAGTTCGATTTCCTCCAGATCCATCTCCGACTCCTCCAGCTTCTCGTTCAGCTTCGGTGCTTGGCTCTGCAGACGGCGGAGGCGGCGGCTCGGGGTGGCGGTGCGGATCAGGCGCCGGGGGATTGCGACGAGGCCGTGGCCCATAAGGTAGATGGCGAGGACCAAACCCCAGACGTAGGCCAGGGCCATGACGAGGCCCTTGAGGGAGTCGACGGAGAAGCCGTACATGACGATGACGTACGCCAGCCCAATAATACCGCTGCCAAACACCATGGCATGGTACTGGGCGTTGGAGCGGAGAGAGTAGAGGATGCGGTCTTTGGGGGCGCGATAACCAGCATCCGAGTATTCGGCGAGGATGGGAAGGATGAACCTGCGAGGAAGAAGCGCAAGACGTTAGTAGACATGAAGGTAGAGGAGACGAAAACAGATAAAAAGAACAAACAAAGCGAAGCCGGGCACTCCGGGACGAAGGCAAAGTAACGAACCATGTCAAGACAAAGGTCAACCAGTAGGTGATGCGCCAGGACACACGCAAGATGGTCTGTGGCAGCCAGATGCCACGGGTGGCCTCATCGTCGGTCTGTGCACTGGAAGCAAGGTCGATGGGGACGAGTAGGACGATGTTGGCGGGCAGAAAGAGAGCAAAGAAAACCGGCACGATGAGGTAGGCAGGCGTCGAGCGCAAGGGCAGATAGAAGCGCAGGATCTGGAGGGTGATGAGCGCAAAGATGAGCATGGCAATGCTGACAAAAATCTCGGACTTTATGGGGTTCGAAGCCTCGAGGCCCTTGAGCGGCGATGCCAAGAAGCCAGCTGCTCCATCGCCGTCGAGGCCGAGATCGATATTGACGGCCGCAGCCGCGCGGGCAATCAATGACATGGCGGCCGACAGGGGGGCGACGGCAGGCCGGCGCCCATCGAACACAGGTGGGAGTGCGTGCAGTGGTGAAGAGTCGTGTAGGATGTCGTGAATGAGATCAAGTGCGGAGTGAGAGGAGGGCGTGGTGGATGTGGTGATCGTCGTGGAAAGTTGTGTCGAGAGATTGGAGAGTTGAGATCACAGGTGGAACGGACAGAGGTAGGGAAGGCTACCAGATAGTGTGGCAAGGGCGGCGCTAAGGAGTGTTACGACATTGGGTCCGCGCGGCGCCCTGCGTGACCGAGACATGCGCCCGGAAAGGCAGGCAAGGTGGGTCTTGCATTACATAATATCGACGGCCTTGCAGAAGATGGCGGGCGTGCGGGTCATTCAGCACAACGGATTCCAAACGTAAGATACAGAGTCCAGCAGATTCCACCTAAGAAAACACGCCACCCACAGGTTGAAGTACAGCTGCTCAGGCTGCCTCGCCGCCTAAGGCTTAGCAGGGTTCCCTGAATGGAAAGACCATGTAGACAGCCTGACCGGTGTACACAGTAGGAAGGAGCGACACACTCTGAAACACTGTGTCCGTACAGCCTTCCGTTCCGGTCGCATTTCTTGGGCCTTTTTATTAGACGATGGACCAGAGTTGCGGCTCCGTTCGAGGCGGTATTATATGGTCTGTAGACCGTTAGATACGGACAAGATTACCAGCAAAACTTGAGGACAGGCTCGTAGTTAATTGTACGCGATTACGTCCAGCCCCGAAATACACCTCTAGGGACAGCAACTGGAGGAGCTCAAAATGTGGCAGTTGCAGCCGGCCTTGGTGTAGCAAGTGCGACCCAGGTATGACGGGCGGAGCTTGGCAGGTGCGACTGACCACTGAAATCGTAGCCTCGGAGTTCTGGGATAACTCTACCTGCTAAAGCCGCTAACAGGCACGGCTCCGAGCTCTCACCCACCTCGACTACATGTCAACAAGGAAGCAGGACACGGACGGAGGAGGGCACACCACGTTATATCGCTCCGTATCAAATGGTAAATGCCGAACTGGTTTGAACTTGAATTGAGTCGCTGTCAGGTTGTACGAGGAGGACTCGTCAGCGGCTGGCAAGCCGCCATCAACGGGTACAAAATGGCAGCTCTGGCACCTCGTTTTGCCGCGCTGGCATTTCGTCGGCCTCTCAGTGGCAGCGGTTGCAGCGTCAGAGTCTACTCTGCAGGCAGCTTCAGATCATCTTTTTCTACAGCACCACGGGCAACGGCGAGAGATTTGGAAGTGAAGCTCACGGCGCCCAATGGCAAGACTTGGACGCAGCCTCTCGGGCTGTTTATCAACAACGAGTTTGTCAAGAGCAGCAACGGCGAGACGATTGCCTCGATCAACCCGAGGTGAATACTTTCCCATACCGAGATACCCGAGTCGCATCATGTTAACATGTCCAGCACTGAACAGGAGATCTGCTCTGTGTATGCGGCCTCCACCCAGGACGTCGACACAGCCGTCAAGGCCGCCCGCGCCGCCTTTCGGAACCCGTCGTGGAAGCGCCTGTCAGGTACCGAGCGCGCGGCTATGATGTACCGTCTGGCCGACCTTGTGGGCCAAAATGCGGAGCTGCTGGCAACTATCGAGGCGCTCGACAACGGCAAGCCGTATACGGTAGCCTTGAACGAGAACGTGCCCGAGCTGGAGAATGTGCTGCGGTACTACGCGGGCTATGCCGATAAGAACTTTGGGCAGGTTGTTGATGTTGGGCCCAGCAAGATGGCCTACACAGTCAAGGAGCCCCTGGGTGTTTGCGGGCAGATTATCCCTTGGAACTTCCCGCTCGACATGGCAGCCTGGAAGCTTGGTCCGGCACTGTGCTGCGGCAACACTGTGGTACTGAAGCTGGCCGAGCAGACCCCGCTCTCCATGCTCTACGTGGCGCAGCTGGTTCGAGAAGCTGGTTTCCCGCCCGGCGTGGTCAATGTTATCAACGGTCACGGCCGCGAGGCGGGCGCGGCGCTCGCCTCGCACGAGGGTGTCGACAAGATTGCGTTTACGGGCAGCACGGCCACGGGCCGCGAGGTGATGAAGCTGGCCGCCGGCACGCTCAAGAACATCACGCTCGAAACGGGTGGCAAGTCGCCGCTGCTCGTGTTCGAGGATGCGGATCTCGAGCTGGCGGCAAAGTGGGCACACATTGGCATCATGGGCAACCAGGGCCAAGTGTGCACGTCGACGTCGCGTATTTTGGTGCATGAGGCCGTGTACGACCAATTTGTCACGCTCTTTAACCGCGCCGTTGAGCACGTGTCTGTCGTGGGCGACCCCTTTGATCCCAACACGTTCCAAGGCCCGCAGGTAACGCGCGCACAATACGAGCGAGTGCTCAGCTATATTCAGGCGGGCCGTGACGAGGGCGCCACGGTGGCAATGGGCGGCGTGCCCGTGGCCGGGCCGCTGTCGGAAGCAACAGAGAACGGCGCGCCAAGCAAGGGCTTTTTCGTGGCGCCAACGGTGTTTACAAATGTGAAGCCGACCATGAAGATTTACCGCGAGGAAATCTTTGGTCCGTGCGTGGCGATCGCCGCCTTCAAGACAGAGGGCGAGGCGGTCGACATGGCCAACGATACGACATACGGGCTCGGTGCAGCGCTCTTTACGCGCAATTTGGTACGGGCACACCGTGTGGCGCGGGAGATTGAGGCCGGCATGGTGTGGATCAACAGCTCCAACGATTCCGACTTTCGCGTACCGTTTGGCGGAGTCAAGCAGTCGGGCATCGGCCGCGAACTCGGCGAGGCCGGGCTGGCGGCATACAGCAACATCAAGAGCATCCACCTCAACATGGAGGCTACATAGAGTATACCTTGAGTCACCGCGCATGCGGTGGAATTTAGTAGAATGTGCACTGGGATATATATTATATATGGAGCAAATGTCAATCGTTTGCAAACAACCTATAATTTACAGTTTGTTTGTGTTTTGTCCGTTTCCTTTTATGTGTTTTTCTATCCATAAATATTTCCAATGCCATATTCCAAGTCCAAATGCTACCGTATGTTATCATAAAATCAAAACCCGATATCCAAAGCCATGATGTGTACAAAGTACAGCAGGAAATATAGTGCCTAGATGGAGCTTTACTGTAGCACATTACAAGTCGAAGACGCCCCCTTCAAGTAAAATATTGAGCACGGCCTGCCGGTCATTCCACTCGCCTAGCTGCTCAATCTTGCCGAGGTCGAGCAGACGGCACAGTGCCCAGTCGCTCTCGGGCAAACGATCGACACCGTCCATGACCGACAGGTTGAGTGTACTTAGGGCATCGACATCGGTCATAGCCACGGCGGATGACGATATGCCTTCGACAACAGGGCTCGTTCTCACCAGGTCCGCCAGGCGGTCCCGGAAGACGCGCCGGTCGTACTGCTCGACCGGGTTCCTGCGCTCCTCGTTGTTGTTGGCCAGACGTGACACGGTGTCACCGACAAGGCAGATCCACAAGAGCAGGGCGCGTGCGGACTGGTTCGTCAGCAAAGACACGTCAAACACGTCACCCTCGCCCAGGTGCCAGCGCAGCAGGTGCAGCAGGATAGCGTAGCCGCCGAGGTTGCGGGGGAAATCAGGGAAGAATTCTTTCAAATACAGGATGCCGCCAATGCGCATAGCGGGCTCGAGGCAGGTGGAGGTGGGCGACGACGGCGTGGCGGCAGGGGCGGGGATAATGTACAGAGCGGCTAGTGGAACGCGGTGGTTGCGAACGTAGCTCTCCGTCTGAAGGCGGCTGGTGTCGACGGGTAGCAGTGTATTCGGCCGGGGCGCTTGTGATGGAGCCGAAGTCGTGGACATAGACGGTGATGGGAACGAAGACAAAGTTGGGGATGCCGCTGTCAGCGTCGGTTGGGCCTGTAGGGCCGCCGTCTCGGCGTCGTGTGCAGCGGCCGCATCCTGCGGTGTGACATCCTGCCGCAGTGGTCCCGGCTGAGATACGAGGTGGTGCTGCAGCCAGTACAGCTCTTCCGAGAAACAGTAAGGGTCGAGGGGTAGGGGTGCCGTGCTTCTGGCCAGATCACGCACCAGCTGGACGGCCTGGACAAAGACACACAGCGCGGCCAGGGTCTGACTGACGACAGGAGCGACGCCACAGGGGGAGGCAGGGTTCGCAAAGAGTGCAGAGGCGGAGGCGCGAATGTCCTGGCGCGTGACGTCGAGCAGGACGGTGTCGGAAATGTTGGGGAACCTGCGAGTGTCGAAAGGCAGGTACGGGCGGATGGCGAGGGCCATGGCGCCCTTGAGGTCGGTCTTGCGCATCTTGAAGAGCAGGGCTGGCCGGACCTCATTGATAAACCGCCGGCCACCGTTCAGCTCCACCATCTTGCTGAGAGCCTGCATGTGCAGGTGCCAGTGGTCGTAGCGTCCAGTGGAGCCACCCATGAGAGCAAGAGTCGTAATGCACTCGAGTGTCATCTCCGGGATGACGTGGCGGCGGCGGCGATGGTGGCTGCTGGCCGAGGAGGGTGATGCCGGGGGCGACGGCGACGGAGACGGTGACGAGCGAAATGGTGCGGCCAGCTGCATCCTGTCGGCGTTGTTGTTGTCATCGTCGCTGTCGCCACCGGTGCTATGTGCCGTCTCGGCGTGCTTGTCATGCTCCTTTTGATGGAGGGCGAGCTGCTGGTTGACGATGCGGCAGACATTCGACACTTCCAGGGCCAGCTCGTCGGACGTGTTGGCGCCTCCGAGAACGGCGCGCAACATGGCGCCGCACAGCAGCACACAGCGCACGGCAGCGCGGTCCTGTACGACCATCCAGTAGAACTCGCTCGAACGCGTGGGGTTGTACTGAAGGAGGTCCTCAAAGGGATAGAGCTTGCGCGGGATGAGCTGGAAGAACTGGTGGAAGAGGCGTTGCTCGAACTTGTTGAGCTGCGGGACGTGGCACATGGTCCAGGTGGGCAGGCTGCGGGCGACCTGCTGGTAGCTGTTGGCGAGGGCGGTGATGCGGGCCTTGCGAGCCTTGCTCTCCGCATATGACGTGTTGCTGCCTTTTCGACGCTTTGCTGCCGCGCCGGCGGCACGGTTCTGCTGGTAGCTGGTGCGCAGGGCAGCGGCGCTGGGCGAGATGTATTCGGCCTCCCAGTCGTCTGGCGCAAACAGGCCCATTCCGTCGAACATGGAGGTAGAATTCGAGAGAGGCGAGAGAGATTCAAGCCCAGAGTTTCCGCTGATGGTACTTTCAGCGACGGAGCCGGGCGACGTGAGGAAGGGTGACGCAAAGGGTGAGGGAAACGAAGTGGCCGACTCGCCGGGTGTCGACGTCGACATGAACAAGGATGCGGTGTCGGAGAGCGCGGGCGAGGGATGACGATCGGAGGAGGCGGGTGCGGTGTCGGTGTTTACGGCCGGGTGTGGGCGCTGCTTGGTTCCACTGGAGGCGGCGGTGGCGGCGTTGCTTTCACGCTTCGCCTTCTGGGCTGCCGGCTTCGTGACCAGCTTCCACCGGTGCACCAGTGGCTTTGACGGATTGGCCGGGTCTGCGCCTCCATTGAGCGCGCCCTTCTGAGGTGCCTTTGCTGTGGAAGTAGTCGTGGTGGCGCTGGCCGCCGCGGAAGACGAGGCGTCTTTGTCCCGCGTAATTGCACTGTTTTTGTCGGTGCCGCTCGGGGTGGCGGCCGGCGGCGAGAATGTTGAGAAGGTCGAGAATCCCGAGGACGCGGGGGGCGCGGGGTTCGCGGCAGGAGTCGAGAAGGCAGAGAAAGCGGAGGTTGAGCCTGCGGCCTTGTGCTTTGAGCTCTTCTTCTTGCCGCTCGTGCCAACGCTCGAGCCTGAGGGTTGGGCCGGGCCAGATGTGTTGACAAACGAAATGCCGTGGTACTTGTGCTTGGTGACCTGCAGGCCGCGGCGGGTCGACACGAGGGCGCCGTCCTTTTGGACAGTCGCGTTGAAGTGGTCCATCTTGAGGGAAAAGGGGGGATCTCGTTATGGTATAAAGGCGATGATGTGCTGGTGCGGCACAGGCTTGCCGTGGTTTGCGTTGCAACCCTATGGAGAGGGATGTAATCACAGACGGGATTCAATGCCGGTGGGTGTTGAAGACGTCCAGTCAAAACGATAATGTACTAGAGTGTTGATGAACTCGATGCAAAATTGACTCGAACGCCGAGATCGAGAAACCGGATATGCTCGAGATCGCTTGTCCCCAGAGAGGGTGTCTTCCAACCAACACGAAGAGACCACAGAACAGATCATGCAGCCTTTTGTCAGACTTCTCTGCGCTCGTTGAAACAATAGCTCTTGTTAAGAGTGTCGTTGTCGTCGTTGTCGTCGCCAATCCTGACCACCACAGACGTGCGGGGGGCGGATATCGGGGCTCAGAAGTGGTGTGCTGTTGCCGGAGGTGCCTGCCAAGGTACAATCCTAAATGGGTGCCTGCATTTTGTCTGGCTGAAGATGCATTGTGTCTGGTTGAAGATTGAGTACTATCGTCGTTGTTTGCGGTTTATGTCAATTGTGTCAATCGAGGATCAAGACAACGCCACCGCACATCGCTCCTTCCCCGCAGCCTATGACAAACCGCTACTCAAAATCTCGACTCTGCGCACCGCGCTATCGGGCTAGTCCCAATCAGGAAATACTCCCACATCGGGGATAGCCGACATCCGAGTCCACCTGCAGTGAGTTGACTACATCCGACGATGCGGCTTACATGGGGAGTCTTGAACGGGCCTTTGTTGGAGGTGAGAGTGATCGTTTATTATTTACCGGTTTAAGGGGTATAAAATAAAGGAATGAAGTCGATTCGACTTTTGTTTTCTTAACGGTGATAGATAACAGTCAACGTGTCGTTTCCACTACGAAGACGACATCTCTGTACACTTTTGGCGCTGCACGCCTCCAAGTTCCAAAAATCTACAAAACAAACCCAGAGTCCGTTTTAAACTACAAAAATCTTGTGCACTGATCCATCTCTCATTTTCCATTGACGGCAATTCACAGCAAGTGCAATAAGGCGCCAACGTTCACCACCCACGACTCCGAGTGAGGTGATGGTGACGACATCGTCATGAGTCGCCTGCAACATGGCCAAGGCGTGGGGGGCGGCATCGCCGCAACCAAATGGAGTGGAAGGTTCGCTGCCATCGCGTCTGACATGAAAGCGTTCCGAAAAATAGTACCAAACCTGGACCGGACTGGACGGACCACTTTCTGCAGCACTACAAATAACTCAGCTCCTTCGAGGAACCTAGCAGTTCGCCTTCCAAGAGAGCCGGTTACGAAACCCACAAACGGAAATGCCAATCTACAGAAGCCGAATAGGTCCGGGTGCTATATCCTTGACCAGAAGCAGAATACACAATGCGCCTCGCGCCGGTTCTCAAGTGGCTTTGTTTGTTCCGACGAAGAAGAACTTCCATACTTGTCACCGGTCACTAAGGCGCTCAAACCGATACCAACTCCTCCCAGAAAAAGTAATACGCATTGCACCACCACCCACGAAAATCCCAGTCTTGCAAGCGAGACGGACAACAACGCAGAGGAAGAAGATGAGGGCGACGAGGATGACGAAAGTGGAGATGAAGATGATGACGACGAGGATAACGACGATGATGGAGATGAAGAGGACGACGAGGAGAAAGACAACGACGACGACGACGACAACGACGACGACGACGACAACGACGACGACGACGACGAGAATGGCGATGGCGATGATGGTGAGTGGGACAGGGGTCTTGGTCAAGTGGCAGACATCCGTCCACAGCTGCGAGATCACAATCCAAAGTCTGTTAAAGTCCCACGGTCCTTTGAGAGTGGACGATCCAACACGCAATACCTTACGAGGCCAATGGATCCGGAACCAGAAGCCTCGAAACTTGCTCCTCCGTTGACGCGTGTTATTCCGAGTGCTGATGCGAGAGACAATACCCAGTCGCCGAAAGCAGCTACGAAACGGACCAACCTCAGGGAGGATGTCTTCCTGTATGAGTCTATCAAGGCCAGGTACGTCAGTTCTGTCTCCAAGCCAAGTACAGAGTTTGTCTCCCGGCTGCCTGAGCCGTGGCAGATTCGCGAAGCCACGAGAACATCCCGCGAGAATCGAGAGAAGCGATCACACAAACGTAAGGCATGGGAGCAGCTAGTTCCAGTTGAAGCGTTGCCCAAAAGACAAACTCGTGAGGACATGCGCCGGGAAAGCACTGTATTTGAATTCGATAACACCAGGAATGAAAGCCATGACAGCGGTGGGATAGTGCAGTTTGCAGAACGTGACCGCAGCTTCAATCCAAAGCCCGGACACTGCCCGTTCCCTCTGCCATCATCGCCACAACGGCCTCCATCTCCGCCTCCTATTAGCGAATCTCGTGTCGTCATGCAATTCACCGTTTTTCGCACCCGGGGACTTCCACGGTCCTTTGATGGCTACCTAGCTGGAAAAGTCGTCCGCAGCGGGTCGTACGCCGACAAGAACACGGCGAACAAGCGGGCCGAGGCGCTTCTGCGACTTAAAGGCCCGCCCGTTGCCCGCATGGAGTTCGAATACGGCGAGGACGGCTCGTCCCGGAATGGAATGTTCTTCGGCCGAGCAGAATACAAAAACGGCACGTGTCTCTACGTATACGTGGACTGCGAGTACCAACAGTTTGGCAAAATCGACCCGTCAGAGTTTGACGGGAAACGCATGAACCCACAATACAAGCAGTTGTGCCTAGCGCCGCGATACGACGTGTTTGTGATTCTGCGAAAGGCCATGAGAAGCCAAGACGGCATTGTTGTCTACGAGTACGAAGAAGAGACAAGACCAGAGACAGTGGCCGACGTGATCAATGATGATGACAGTGATATTGAGAGCAGCCATGAAAAGGGACCTGAATTTGAAAATGAACGTATGTTGGCCGAAGCTGCGAGGTCTTCTGTATGTGCTCTTGACAGTCCTATGGAAAGCGATGACAGCAACCGTATCAATGAAGTTTCTGCAACGGAAACCCGTGAAGACAGTGCAGCTGCCAAGGGTAGTGATGAGAATGACACGCAGACTGCCCTTGATGAAATTGACAAAGAATCGAGTTTTGCCAGAGTCCGTCATGTGAACGCAGCCGATGACAACTGTGTCGATGAAAGTGAATCGAATCAAAGCCAGAGTGGACTCAAGAATGACACAGCACGCCCATCGGTCCACAGGTCGAGCCTGGGTTCGCATTTTCAGCCTATTTTTGTTGGGTCGTACACCACGCTCGCAGAGGCCAATGCCAAGGCAATCGACGCCTTTGCTGTCAAAACACGGCCACAGCCACCTGCACGCTTGGACGCCCTCATGTACTATCGTGACATCCTGCAGCCACACCTTCGCCAACTTCGGCTCCAGTTTTGTGAGGACCAGGACTCTCGGGAAGCCACGGAGGAGGCCGAGATATCATGGGAACCTAGTGCACAGTTCCGGTACGACTACGAGGCCATCAACGTGGTCGTTGCCAAGAGCGAAATGCAAGGTCCCCTCGACCTTACGGGCGCATTTTCGTGAGAGGCGGTCAAGTGATGTGCCGCCCTTGCGAATGTGTGTTGGAAGTTGTACAGAAATGAAAAGGCATTTTCATCACACGAGTTCGGATCATATGTAAGGGAAGCCCTATTTCGTTTGATTTATTTTGTCAAGGATTTTCTCTTCGGTTTCAGTTTCGCGTTGAATTCAAATCTTTACGATTTTGCTCCTTGTTCTGTTATTTTGTCTTAAATAGTAATCAACAGCAGATTGAACGTGCGGAATATCACTTGCCATAATAAACCCGTAAGGCGTAAACAATATCGCCGGTTACGCTTTGTGCAACGTGTGACCGTTTTTCAACGACGGAATTATAGATCACCGCACGGATTGAACGCGTCTGATACTACATTTTGATGGTCATATTGGCTGCACCGAAGAAACGAGGCATAGTCAGCGCGGAAAATACAAGTTGAAAGGGTATGAAGGGTATGCCATGACAAATAAGGAAAAGACAGGCAGCTGACACAATAACGGAAACGGAGAAAGGAAGATGTGACTTGTTTGCAATAGGTAGGACAAATGTCGTAGAGATGTTCTTACGTATATAAGCCGGTTTCGTCGTTTCTGGTGACTTCGTCTTGCGTGGACATTCTATTTATTCTTGCCATATCGACTGTTAGTTCCGCGTCTTAAACTGTTTTGTGCCTTAGTACTACATCTAACAAGCTATTACACAGCTGGTCCAATTCTTGCCAACATAACCAGCTTGCAGGGTTAAAGGATAGAGTAAAGAGGAAAGAAGCCACAGCACTGCTGAGAGGAGGAATCTGCAGTGGGTCGGATTTCCTTCTGCTCATAAAATGCTCAGTGAATGACTGGGATCTGCTTGTAGGCACGATAGTCAGGGCAACTGTTGGAAGACCAGACGAAGACGACCACAGCCAGAACAAGAGCGGCACTTGATGCAAGCAATTAGTCGTTCAAATTGGCCACCTGCGCATCATTCAACAAAAAGTGGTTGCTTTTTCAATGGGTTTTAATTGTTTGGTAAATGCTATGTACATAATCCACGGCCGGAGGAGTGTGGTCCAATGGTCGTCGTGGAGCCCCAGAAACGTGGTGAAAATGAAAAACAGGCGCATCTTCAAACAAAGAGCGCTGGGATAAAGCAATGAAAATCGAATTCGTTCTTGTCGTTCATAGGGGGTACGATGTCTGAGGAAGCGACTCGAGGTGTTTCCGGTGGTGCTCGTTGGCCTAAAAAGGAGCGAGACGTTAGCAAACGATGCTGAAAATGTGAACACCAGGAAAATCCAATAAAATGGCGGGATAGACGCACAAAAGGAAGACCGCAGTAGCCGCAGACGCTGATCTGCGGCTTGTCCGTGTTGATGAAAACCCGCGGGTGACCGGCCGCACCACCGCCACCGTCGCACGCCACAATGCGGTCGTGCGTCCACCGCACCGGCTCCTGGTGAACCAACTCCATGGCTGAGTACGGCTGCGGCTGCAACGAAAAGTCCGTCTGCTCGAAACGCGGGCCCGTCATCGCCTTCTCACGAGGCTGCTGGTTCCGCGTCCACACCCCGCTCCGGTTGGGCGCCTGCTGGAGCTCCGTCGTTGTGGGGGCGCCGGCCTCGGTGGTCGACTGAGGGGTCAGGTCGGTCTGCACGGGGGCCGCGGTGGAATCCTGGCCCATGCGAGCCGTCATGGCAAAGGACCGGTGGCCTACACGACCGCCGCGGGCCAGGCGCTGGGGAAGCAGCCTGCTGCCAGCCCGTAATGACATCATCGTGGTGGGTTGTGTTGTGGGAGTGCGTCTTATTAGTTGCAGGACGTAACGCGGAAATGCAATTGGCGTTCAACAACGGTCGGTGGGTAGGACGGCGTCGTCGTCGTCGTCGTCGGTTTCGTGATGAGGTTCTTTCCGAATTGGCCGCTTGAGGATAAAAGCGGACCTTCTGCAATGGCTCGTTAGAGCAAAAGCCCAATTCCCTGGCATGCGGTTGGTTGGCTGTGTCCCAATTTCTCGCATTAATTCATTTTCCGGAGCCCGGTTTCCCATCTTGCTACGGCATGCAACTTTCTTGTCGCATGGACCCACTTAAATTATGTCCAAGTGTCTTATCGATAGTGATCCCAAACGAATCCATCACAGCTGTGGAATTTTTTTGTATGTTGTGTCTGGTCGCAAAGCATATCATCAACCACGCATTACACTTTCCTTTTGTCAGATAGTGCACTGCCTTCGATTTCCCCTTACATATTAACTTCGTTCTGATTCATATACCACCTCATAGCTCTCTGCAGCACACGATGCCGCCACCACAATCACCCAAGGCAACGCCGCCTCGGGCTGGCACTTCGCGCCTGTTGGCGATGAAGTTCATGAACCGCCTTGGGCCTTCAGACTCTACACCCACGACATCATCTCCCTTAGTATCAGCTCCGTCAACACCCGTATTCAACAAAACCGACACTGCATCCTCAGATGAAGACAATGACGACGACAACCGGCCATCCGCTAAGCGACGGAAGGTTTCATTATCTGGGGACGCGACGGCATCGTCTCCTGCGACGGCGGTTGCTACCGCAGCAGGCGCGACAGTAGCAGAAATGGAGGCCACCATGCGCGCGTCCATGGACGAGGAGGAGCGGAGGCGCCAGGTGGCCATCAAGCGGCGTGCGGCAGAGCTGGGCGATGAGCATTGGACGTGGAACGCGCCGCTGCCAACACACGTTGCAGCCAAGCTGGCAGCCAGCTCCAACTCGGTGAAATCAAAACTGCCTTATGCTGTCGTGCGTGTTGGATACGCCGAGATTGATGACAGAGCAGACTCCGAAGCTACTGGCAGCAGCAGTCCCACAACGCCGAGCACAGCGCGCCTAGTGGCAGGTAGCGCCAAACCCAATATTATGCGGTTTAACATGAAGAAGGTACGTCCATGAACGGCGTAGTCCGCTATGCTGCTGAACGTACTTTTCGTACTGACACACTTTTTTTTAGGCTCCCGGCAAGGGCGACGAATCCGATGACGAGGATGACGAATCGACACAGGGCGGCGACAAGAAGTCACGGAAACGTTCACGATCCGACGTTGATTCCAGTTACAAGAAGAAAGAGACCACGAAACTGAAACACCTGACCTCGCTGTCGTCCCAAGGCGGCCAAAGCTCGGCGATGAAGTGCCACAAGTGTGGGCGGCCTGGCCACAAGGCAGCGAGCTGTCCTGCAGCACAAAGCAAAAGTGCCCGCAAGAAGCGATAATTGCCTTTGGAAGATCCAGAAACGGGATGCACCTTTTACGAAAACGTGTATATCACGTAGTCATTGATCGGCATGGCCCAGCCATTGTATGCATCGTGTTGTCCCCAAATTGAGGCCCGCAGTCCAGCCGACGCTGGGGATGATACCCCTTTCTTTTATTTGCTATACACGGATTAAACGGAGTCGACGTCCCAAGTTTCTGCTCGTATTGCTGAAAGGCACCGTGTAGTTTCTATGCGTCCAGGACGGCACTGGTGGATGCCCCATTACTTGCGAAATGCATGCAATCGCAACCAAGTACGACATGTCTCTCAGATGCTATCTGGCTGCACCGTTTTGTGGCTGTGCCTTTGCAAAGACAAGGTCTACGTTCGTTGACCAACATGAGGTCACCGTGGGACTAAGCTGCACGTTGGTACCCATCGAATCTATGAGCATAAGGGTCAACTTCATTAAGTTCAGGTACCCGTAGACCAGTGTGCGACCGAAAGACCTGTGCTAGCATTCCCAGTGTAATTTTTCGAAATATGTAACTGGTAGTGCATTAGACCAAAGTCCATACAAAATGAAATAAACCTAAGGATACTGTGTCGTGAAGTAGGACACTTTTACTACAATTATTTGCCTTCGTATACATAGTGCCTCGAAAGTAATTATAAATGGATAGATTGAAAATGCATAAAAACTTTATGTGAACCGCCAAAAGCACATACAAGAAGACAGTATAGAAGACACAATATAATATTTAAAAGAGAAATTGAACCCAATGAAAAGATAAAAACGCCTGAAAAATGCTACAATGAGGGCCAAAATCACACACACTCGCTTGTCCGTATGGCAACTCGCGGCCTATTTCTTAGATTTCCCCTTGAATGTCCGCAGCGGATTCCGTCCTTTACTGCCGCCAACCTTGAAGGTCTTGTTGCCCTTGCTGTTTTTGTAGTACTTGGACTTGCGGCGGTCCTTGCCGTCTGTCCTCCGCAGTGGCACAAAGCCAACCTGCGCAGGCGTCAGCGCGTTCTTGCCGTCACGTGGCAACAGATACTCAGGCACATGTTTGAGGTGTGACTGCGTGCGCATCGTGCGCAGCTCTGTGTCGTGACGTGCCAGATGGTGCAGCTCGTCCGGGTTCTCTTCGAAATGGCGCTTCAGTTTCTCGCTCTTCAGCAGCTCCTGCCGGATTTCACGCATCCGCGCTTCACGCACCGCCACCTTGGTGACCGACCGCAGCGCGTCGTTCATACGGTAGCGGAAGGCCTCAACCTGCTTCATGTCAAAGTCGTACGGCTTGACCTCCTTGCCAACCTTTGCCTGCTGTCTCATGATGCGCGCGAGCACTTTCTCGTCCTTCTCGGCTGTCTCGACGGTCGTCGGCATGTGCTTCCGGTACTGTTCGGAGGGGACCACAAACGACAATGCCATACCGGTCTGGCCTGCGCGGGCCGTGCGGCCTATGCGGTGCGTGTAAGACTTGGACGATGTTGGCAAGTCAAAGTTGATGACAGCGCGCACATTCTTGAAATCAATGCCACGCGACACACCAAACTCCTTGTCGCGTTTGATGGTCTTGCGCTTCTTCTTCTTTGGCGCGGCCTCGTTTGCATCACCAGGAGCAGCATTGGCATCGTCGGCCGGCTGGTCTTCGTCACCGAGGAGCTCGTGCTCATCGGACGCGATGATAATGTCGTAGACGTTGCGGTTGAACTCCTCGATACAGTGAATCCGGGAGTTGACGGGAAGCTCCGAGTTCAAAATGCAGCTACGGATTCCAAACTGCTCAAAGAACAGCTTCAAGCGGTAGCAACGGTCGACATCAGCGACAAACACAAGGCACTTTCCAGTGACCAGCTTCAGCTTGAAGATGATGTAGGCTAACAAGAACTTCTCGTCCTCGGCGCACTTGACAATGTATTGAGAGACACCCTCGCCCTCAGCCTCCTTCTCCTCCAGGTTGAGAACGACTGGGTCCCTGCACAACATGCCCTTTAAGGTGTCGACCTCGGTCGAGAGTGTCGCGCTCATTAGGATCGTCTGGACGCCCTTGGGTAAGGATCCGGAGATCTGCTCCAGGTCATCGTTGTAACCATAAGAAAGCACAAGGTCAGCCTCGTCAAGAACGAGGTGCGTTAGTTTTGAGAGAGAGAGGAAGTCGTTGCTGGCGGCGTGCCATGCTCGGGCCGGTGTTGAGACGACAATGTCGGGTGTGTTGGAGAGGAGAGAGCGCAGGACAGCGTCAGACACCTTGTCGGTCAGTTTGACGGCAGAGACGTCCTTGGCACAGAAAGACGAGAACTGGGCGATGCCTTTGGCGACTTGGTCGGCAAGTTCGCGAGTCGGGACGAGGATGAGGACTGAAGTGAACGCAGACTGGTCGGTCTAAGGAGAGCAACAGTGTTAGCACATGGAGAAAGAATACCAAGATTTGCGTAAGTCAACATAGTCATAACCGTCAAAACTGTCAAAACATACTTGCTTCCGCTTCAGAATCGCCTGCAGGGCGGGCAGCAGGTATGCGGCCGTCTTGCCCGACCCAGTCTTCGCCTTTGCCAGGACATCCTGACCATTGAGCGCAATTGGGATCGCCCTTTGCTGGACGAGCGTTGGCTTCTCATATTTCTGTTGTGCGACGGCTTGGATGAGTCGCGGGTCGAGACCAAGCTGGGTGAATGACAGGATCTGCTCCGGCGCGGCGGCGGGAGCGGGAGCGGGAGTGACGGGCTTCTCGGTGGACAGCGTCTCTGGCGCAACGCCTTCTTTGACGACTGCTGGAGTGTCGTTCTGTTCGAGCTTCCGCTTCATCTTAATGCGATGTTGTTTCTAAGATATGTGAGGGGGTAGTTGTACGTTTGCTGAAATCGGCGACCTCGAGTTGGATGTGGCTATCGATGGTGCCTTGGACATCCGATTCTGCGGCCGTTTTGCATCAAAGATTTTGCTTCATATTGCCAGCCTCCTGTCCCTCAAAAAAAAAAAAATACGTTATCGTCTCTTATCGGCTTTACCGCTTTCCAGGACGGGATGAAAGCGATTGTCACGTGCACACCGGATCGACGAAAACCGCGTTGGCACAGGTGGGTCTTTTCTTTCCTGTTATCACGCTAGCCCTGTTTCAGGGTACAAACAAACATGCGACGCAATATGTCGTATCTTACATTGCATGCAACATATTTACACCAGTCATTTTGCAAACCGTCGTCTCGAAGGGCAATGAGGGATTTGGTATGTCTTCTTTTCTGACAGGTTTGTGCCCTGAGTCTTGGGTGCTTCACAACCAGCAGTGGTCTGGCACCTGCCAAACAAAACAAGTTTTCTCGCGCAGAGCTAACCTCGCCTCTGCAGCCTCCTGCATATTCAGTTACAGAACACCGCGGCAACCACTATTTGGACAGGGTTGGAAGTCGTGACTAGCAGCAATTTTCTCAGAAAAATGACAACAAACTGCATTGTCAAGCCATGCTCACGGCCGTTCGCATATCCAGTTGTACAATATGTAGCCGGACAAGTAGCAATATCAAGACGAGCCAACGTGCATATGGAAATACGCTTGTTTGCAGCCAATCGTATGATCAGAGACGATAGAAGCCGATAGAGGAGTGCTGAACTTTCGAAGTACGACGTACAATTGGCTTTTGATGAACTCGAACCAGGGCACCAGTACGTTCGAAGAACAATGCTAAGAGCCATTTTGTCGTAACAGAAAAGGTACGCTCATCGCCCATATCCACATTGTCGAAAACCGTTATTCAGAAAGGTTGGCTCAAAAGAACCATTCGCTTCCGCGCTGCCGAATCCAAATTAATTGCGTCGCATATACGACAGTATATCTCGGTTTATTCCAGACGAGTACGACGTAGTAGCTATGAGCGCCTTGCCCTGCAGCATGGTCCTCGAGTCGATGAAGCTTGTGCTTCATTGCTCCGATTGGCTAAAGATGTAGCGCAGTGGCACGGCGTCACGGGATTTGTTGTGGCAAGTGGGCCCGTGCACCACACCTACAGTGCCTGCTTTCGCGGTTGCCCCAGACAACTACTGTACACATTGCAGGGGAGGGGCTGCGTTTGGCGAGGCAAGAGCGGACCAGTGCGCTTGCCATGTTTACATTTTTTAAGAGACTCGCTCTTCCCCTCCACACCACCACTTTTACGTTTTGGTCAAAGACGGCTGTCGCCAAACATCTCACATTCTTTTCCTTCACGGCGGGAAGAGGTCGATATTTCTTCATGCTATAGCCCATCTATCCTTTGGAATTTTGATCCCCTTCCATTCTCATTCTTGCCCAGCGCCACTTTGCATTCATCCAGTTCATCTTACAGTATTATTGCACGCACATCGCCAATTTACCCTTCCTAGTCGCGGGCGCGCAGAGCACATCGAGTAGAGAGACGTCAACAAACCCGGCAGAGGCAACGAAGATATTCTCAGCGCGGAAAGCTGCAAGAACCGTTGCCGATTGCCTCGAGCAGACCGGTGGTTTGTTTTCTCCGGGGCTTAATTCTCTTCGACCCTTCTTTCTGTTCGATCGTCTCGCTTCCGTTCACTTTCTGTCTCAGTCTTTTTTACGAAAAACAACGCAGCTGGACCGGGCGTCTGCACTTGACGCCCATTCCAGCATTCCAGAGCTCTCATCTATTTCGAGACGACAGAGATTCCTGGCCACCACGTCAACGGAGTGCCCGTCTCCTTTATTTGCCTGGCCACGTCAGGGCATCAATGTTCTTGACGCACTCTGCATCACTTGTTTCTTACCATGGCGTCCTCCGAACCTGTAAGTCTCACTTTTTTTTTTGCCTACGGGATGCGCTTGCACTTGCGCGAAAGTACCACGTATCATAGGACTAATCCTTGTTTAGGTGCATCCTCTGCGCATTTCAAAGAACAACACGCCAATGTCCTCGCCCGCCAAAAAGGCCAGCGCCATCCCTCGTCCCCTTTCTGAAATCTCCCCTTCGGAGAAGCGCCGCAATTCTCCAAGTTGGAACCAAACCAACAAGGTAAGAGTCTACATCTGCTTGCTGCCTTTGGTTGCTTTCACATTTGGCGTGCAATGCAGTCTGGATCAGAATCTAATTATTCTCTCAACATTAGAAGCTGGGCTTGAATGCAGACTCGTCGCCGTTTCAGTCCTCGCCTCTTGACGGCACCACGTCACCTCGCTTGTTTTGGCAGAACCGCAACGGCTTCAACACCGAGAACCTCTACGGGGGTGGCATTGGCAGCACCCCATCGCCCACACGCCGTTCTTCCATTGAGCGCCTGCAAAAGGCATCTCGTGTCAAGAACAGCAGTATCCTCGCCCAAGAGCAGAAGAACGAGTACGACCCAACAAAGGTCCCCAGAGTAGAGCGGCCCTTGTCCAAGGTCCAATCGAACTCCTTTGGCGCATTGGGTATTACGGGTGTGCTTGATGGCGGCGACGTAAAGGGCCACCAGCGGAGAGAGAGCAAAACAAACATCCCTCTTTACGACCCTGCGAAAACGTCCCCGTCTGTTGCTAGCCTTAACTCGCCACCACACGTTCCGGGGCAGCTCTCATCGAGCGTCCAGTCAGACAAATCAGACACGCCGGCCGCACTTGCTGCCGACAGCAACCCTGCTATGGCTATCAAAGAGTCGTCTTCTCCCATGAAGTCCTCTCTTTCAAGCCGGTTTAAGAGCAGCTATGATGAGCAAGGTGACATTTCGCTGGACGCATCTATGGGTGACTATGAACTTCCTCTTGGCCGTTCTCTTCATCGCCACGGAAAGAGTGTCACATTCGACGCGGCACCACCGCAAGTCAACGAGTACGAGATGGCCACGCCTGACCTTTCATCCGTCGGCAGTCACTCTCGGGAAGGCAGCTACGAGTCACAGGAGGAGGATGACGACTATGACGACTATCGGTACTCCGCAAATGACCATGGCAACCCAGACGACAGCTTTGATGCGTCTCTGGAGGACACCGACAAAACCCCCGTCGTCGGCCCTGATGACTGGCGCCAAGACAGTCCTGACAGCCGCCGTGACCACAACGTTTACGAAGGTAGTCCTATGCCTGACGCTGCTCCATCTTCTGCTATGGGACACCAGGATGCACAATCTTCGCTGGGCTCCAGTGGTGACCACCGCCCTCTTCCTCCTCTGCCTGGTATGGGCCATGCTCGTACAAATTCCGCCAACTCACCGAGTTTGTCTGCCACCGCCGATCGAATGCTGGGTGGCAGTCCCCGTGGGCTGCCGTCGCCGCCGCCTGCATTGGCTACGAAGTCTGAGATCCAAAACATTGGCAACAGCAAGATGACACTCGAGGAGCGTCTCAAGCTTATGATGCTCTCTGATGATGGAAAGTCGGCCGCCGAGCTTCAGAGAGAGCGGCGCATGCGCCGGGCAGGCCCCAAGGATCGCGCTAACAGCCAGACGCCTGAGCCTGACTCGTCGCAGCGTGATGGTACTTCTGAGCACGGTGAGGAGGAGGACACAATTGGAGACCTGTCTGGTCTTGAAGAGTACCGCTTGCCACCTCGCATCTCCAGGGAATCAATCCTTCGTCGCGTTAATGGCGCCATAGGCCAGGAGCGCGAGTCTGACTATAATTTCTCTTCTCCTGCTCCCAGCTCCAGCCCTGAGCGCCGACTTCCTCTGGACCCGGACGTTCCCATTCCTAGCACGGAGCACGACTATGATGATAACTTTTCCGTCGATGGCGCGGCCCGTGAAAAGCATAACGAGGCCTATGACATCCCCGACATGTATGATGACGATGGCGAACATGATGATGCGGAGGATTACGAGAGCAACTACAGTGATGAGCATGCCGAAGATGTTGCGCAACCTGCAGCTGTCGATAATGCCTCGACACCTCGCGCGGCAACCCCAGTCCAGGAGATTTCGTCTCACACGGTCACAGTTGATGACATCCATAGGTCCGATCTTCCGGCTATCGCACAGGAAGGCCGTATCTCTCTAGGCGAGACCCGCCAGCCATTGATGCCTAAGTCAGACGACGGTAACGCCAATTCTGGCCACATGCATCTCCACAACTCCGAGGTCGATTCAATTCGACCGCAGACTCCGGAGCGCAAGACACATCCTAAGCATCTGTCGAAACCTGAATATGATGGCTCCGGTTGGGGGGATGACGAAGAGTTTGACGAACCAGGCACTCCTGATTCTGTCATTCACCACCCAGTCCAGGACGATGACGATGATATTTTTGACGACCAGCAAGAACAGGACGAAGAGGTTGAGATACGCGAGTCGCCGACCGTCCCCGAACAGATGGCAACAATTAAGGCATCTGGCTCGAAGCTCAAGACGCGGCCATCTGCAACTCCCTCCGACCTCGTGGCAATGCGCGAAGCACGCCGCCAAGTCAGTCGCGAAGTACCTGATGTTCCTCCTATTCCAGACCGGCATCGCAACCGCCTGTCCCGCGATATGGGCACAGGGGATGTTGAAGAAACTGGAGATGATTTCCTTGAACGCCATCCCAGCTTCAAGAAGCGCAGCCTGACCCTTGACCTGGACCTTGGTCTCAGTCTGGACAAAGATTTTGAGCGCGTGATCGAAGCTCAGAAGGTCAGTGCTACCCGCCCCACCTTTTCTCTTATCCGACCTGTTAGGGACTACAGCCTTTTGCACTTCCGTGAGGCAAGCGCCTCACGAGGAAGTCGATAGTAACTGTCGTTCTCAGCTTGCCGGTGCCGAAAGCAATATCGCAATGTCTGTTACTGACGTCATTTTCCGTAAACAGCGCGGCTACCTTATGCGGCAGAATACTAAGCTCGTTGCCGCCAGCGACAAAGAACATGCAGACGAGTTCCGGGGTGCCAGATCTGCCGGCAACTCACCCATGAAGAAGGAGCGCCCCCAGTCCTGGACAGTAGAGCCATGGAACGGCGAGCGGAGAAGGAGCGTCCGGAAACGTGGCGTGCCATCGTCGGGCCCTGTCCCGCCAATGCCTGGCCAAGAGAGCAATGCTACCGCACTGAATCCTCTGGCAGAAGAAGAGTTTGTCACCGAGACTACCATCGACGAAGGGGCTGAGAGAGGCCGTCTTTTCGTGAAAGTCATGGGTGTTAAAGATCTTGACCTGCCCATCTCTAGAAGTATGTTTCTGATATTTGCTTCGTTGATCCATGACGAGTAGCCGGTACTAACTACAACCAGCGGAGAGAACATGGTTCAGGCTGACACTGGACAATGGTGTCCACTGCGTGACGACTGCCTGGTTGGAGTTGGCCAGGAATGCCCCTATTGGACAGGAGTTCGAGCTTCTTGTCCCAAATGACCTCGAATTCCAGTTGACTCTCAATGTCAAGCTGGAGAAGCCGGTACAGCGTAAGGTCGTTCAGCCATCGCCTGCCAAGGTTGTTCGTCCCAAGGCATCTACATTCAGCCGTGTTTTTGCCTCTCCCAAAAAGCGCAAGGAGATGGAGCAGCGCATGAAGGAGGAGGACGAACGCCTTGCTCGTGAGCATCTTGAGGCGCAAGCGAAGATCAGAAATGCACCGCCCACTGCATACGACCTGCTGTCTCCCATTGTCGCCGAGGATGGCAGCTTTGCTCGATCGTATGTTTGCCTCAAGGAGCACGAGTCGCGCTGCTACGGACGTCCTGGAATTGTGGAGGTTGCGTGCTTCAACGAGTGGGCCACCGAAGAAGCTGGTTTCGCTTCCAGCGTCAAGAGCAAACGCGGTAACATGGCAGTTGTACGCCGTGCACCTTACAAGATTGGTAAACTGGAGCTCCAGCTTCTGTTCGTGCCACGGCCCAAGGGCGTCTCAAACGACGATATGCCTAAGAGTATGAACTCGTGCATCCGCGAGATGAAGGCTGCAGAGGAGCGTCAGTCTCAGAACTGGGAGGGCCACCTTAGTCAGCAGGGCGGCGATTGCCCGGTAAGTTATTCTCTGCGGCATGATTACCGCTGTATGCAGTGGTCATAATAACAGCATCCTAACCATCTCGTAATAGTACTGGCGTCGGCGTTATTTCAAGCTTGTTGGGACGAAACTGACTGCGTACCATGAGGCAACGCGGCAGCCCCGGGCGACGATTAACCTCGCCAACGCAAAGAGGCTCATTGATGACCGGCGGGCATTGACCGAGAAGGAGACGACCGGCAAGAACGGTAGACGCCGCCGGTCTGCGTTTGCAGAAGAAGAAGAAGGCTACATGTTTGTGGAGGAGGGCTTCCGCATTCGCTTCAACAACGGCGAAGTGATTGACTTTTATGCAGACACGGCCGCGGACAAGGAGGGGTGGATGAAGGTGTTGTCCGAGGTGACGGCACGGGACAGTGCGGGTAGCGAAGACGACCTTACGGCATCGCGGGCCAAGACCAAGTGGTGCGAGCTGGTTCTTAAGCGGGAAGAGGCGCTTCGGCGTCGGGCTGAGGGCCGGGCTGAGGGCCGCCGGGTCCATTCTCGGACGAAGAGCATGCACGTCTAAGTCTCAGCGTGAGTCAGTGTCGACTTGGGCGAGCTGTCCCTTCAGTGTGTGAGACAGGTGTAATGAGCTTGCAGTTCCTGTGGCGCGCAAGAAGACATCTATGAACGGTTGATCGGTTCTACGGTATTGGAGTTCTGTCTTTTGTCGTTTGTCTTGTCTTTGTTTTATTTCCTATTTTTCTTTCTTGTCTTTCTTTAACCGTCGTGTCATACTGGTTTTCTTAGAAGCTTATGATGGACGACGGTTGCATGGGCGGAGCCCAGAGACAGCACCGCGGTCGAGCACCTTGTACTCTCTGAAGACAAAGCCTGGAGCTTGGGACCGGGTTTTTGGGCGACCTCATGCAACCACTGTCATTTGGATTGTATTATTTGTTTTAGTCACTCCCAGGACAGGGCAATGGACCACATTTTTTATCAGTCTTGACTTATAGTAAACTTTTGAGTGCCTGCCAAACGATGCATGTAAACGATGTGATGGGTATATTGTCTTTTCTATGATGCTTTTTTGTATTATCTACTGTTTTATATTTCTGCCTGTCATATATTGCTTGCGCTCATGGTGCAGCCTGCGTCGCCCCTGTCGGATTTGAAGCAAGTTCTCTGTCTTTTTTCAAGTTCCATGCAATGCAGTCGTCGAGCTTCGCGCCCGAGCCACCAAAGCAGTCCAGTGCGCTGCCAATGGTCAGATCCACACGTCCGCCGCTCAGATTTTCGACCAGCGCCAGGTCGTCCACATGCCGTGCGCCGCCGGCGTAGGTTACTGGCGTGCCCGCGGCACCGCACCATGAAGCCAGCTGCTCGACCAGCTCGGCATCAATGCCCCGTTGAAGGCCCTCGACGTCGGCGGCATGCACCAGGAACTCACTGCAGTAGGGCGCGAGCTGGGCAATGGTCTCGGCCGACAGATACATGTCAGTCATGGTCTGCCACTTGTTGATGGCGACAGCCCAGACGGGGGCTGCAGAGGACGATGCAGAGGACGATGCCGACGACTCTGATGGGGCGATTCGCCGACAGCTCAGGTCAATCACGAGCCGCTCCTTGTCGCCGCCGAGCGCTGCCAGCACCGCGTCGAGGCGCGCCTGGCTGAATTTGTACTTGTCTCCGCCATCGGCCCCGGTCGCGTGCTCCTTTTCAAAAAGGTACGACGTCACAATCACCTTGTCGGCGCCGGCATCGATCCATGCCTTTGCATTCGTGTCCTTGATGCCGCCGCCCACCTGCAGCCCGCCCGGCCACGCACCAACGGCCGCGCGTGCGGCTGCCTGGTTGTCGGGCCCGCTGCCTAGCATAATGACATGGGCCCCTGTCAGGCGGTTGTCGCGGTAGAGCTGAGCAAAGTGAGCCGGTGGCTGGGTGGCGACAAAGTTGGTCTGGAGGGCGGCCGAGGTCGAGTCAAGGGTGCCGCCGACGATCTGCTTGACCTGACCCGCATGGAGGTCGATGCACGGGCGGAAGCGCGTCATCTGTGCGGCAGGGTGTTGGGGGGCGGGGGAGTAGAGGTCGCTGGGTATGGAGGGATTATTAGAGTCGTGGCAGTGACTGTAATTATTGTGATAATCTGCGATCCGGTCGAGGCCGTCTGAACTCAAGACGTCCTTTCCTCAAGCTTCGTCTCTTTTTTAGCGGGGTTGATGCCGGCTGCGGTCTACATTAGCAGCCTGGATGTTAGGTGGATTAGCGGGAACGCAGCCTTCTGTGTAGCATGGCCAAGCACAGTTTTGCAGCGCCTTGCCGTAACCAGGGGCAGAAATAGAAGAGCTAGGCCAGTGGCCAATCAGGACAACAGTTTCTGCCGTGCCAAAGCAAAAGGCTGGTTCCTGGGCAGGAAAAAAGCGTCACCGCCCAAGGAAATCGCTGTTACGTCGAAGTTGAGATATCTCACAGTCTGGCTTCCAGACAACCTTTAACCCGCAGGCACAGCACAACACAATGGCGACGGTTCTCGGCAAGCGGAAAAAGTCGTCTGGGACAAAAGAGCCCACTGGCGAGGACGCCATTCAGGATATCTTCCGGCGACACTTTGAGGCCCAGTTCAAGCCCCTGCCCGTGGTCGCAAAAAAGGCCGAGAAGAAGGCGGGCAAGAAAGCGAACGCAAACTCGACCGAGACAAGCGGCAGGAGGCTGAGGACGGCCGCGACGGTTGTTAAAAACGAGAACGAAAGCGACAACGACGAGTCAGAAGCTTCATCGGCGTGGTCAGGATTGTCTGAAGACGAAGATGAGGACGAGGATGTGAAGGAATCCGGCGACGCAGCACCGGCGGTCGAGGTCGTCGACTACAGTACCGACCCAACAAAAGAGACCCCTGAGGCGATCATGACCAAGCATGAGCGCAAACTCTATTTGGTGAGCTCGCACCACGGTTCTACTGCATGCCGCATTTGCTCTTCATCCGCTAACCACAAACTTCTCTCTCTCCAACAGTCCAAACGACCGCCAACGTCGTTTGACGAGGACGCCACGCGCGCCGCCAACAGCAAGAAGAACAAGAAGAAAGAGGAGGCCGACAAACAACAGTACAAGGACGCGCCCGACCTGCTCGCCAACGATCTCGAGCTGCAGCGCCTCATCTCCGAATCCCACCTCCTCGCCGGCGCCTTTACCTTGCCTTCGTCCTTTTCCACCTCGTCCGGCGCCGCCTCTACTTTTGGAGCCGCCGGCGCCGCCGGCACAGCCAACCTGGCCAACCACAAGAGCAGCCAGCCCTTTGCTGCGGGCAAGCTGCGCCAGCGCGCCACCGACCTGCGCATCCAGGCTGTCGCCAACAAGGCCAAGGGCGACGCGGTGGCCGGCGGATCCGTCACTGTGAACCAGGCAAGCGAGAGCATCTTCACACAGGCCAAGATGCCCATGGCTATGCGCAAGGGCATTGCAGCAGCCGCGGCGTCGCGCGAGAGCAAGCGACGCCAGGAGGCGCGGGAAAGTGGCATTGTGCTGGAGCGGCCGGCCCTGAAGCCGAGCAAGTCCGCGGCGAAACGGATGCGTGCCGTGGATGCGCCGGCCGTGGGCCGCTTACGGGGCTCCGAGCTGAAGCTGCGCGACCGGGATGTCCGGGCGATTGAAGGTCCCAAGAAGGCCATGCACGGCAAGAAGAGGAAGAAGCGGAGGTGAAACATTCCGCACCAAGAGCATTTCACGTACATACAAGTTTCACGTATTCAAAAACAATGATGCCAGACATGACCTTAGGAGTCTCGAAGCCCAGGTCATATGTTGAGCAAGAGCAACACGTTGTACTTTCATAGCGTAGTACGATTGTAATTTCAATTTTTGTATTCAAAACCGTAGCTTTTTGTCGTCGTTCACCTATCCAGAAATGAAAATGAAAAAGTAGCTGAAAATATATATACAAATGCAAAGCCTGCCCTCCTCCGCCTTCGCTTCCACGTCAGATCGGTCATGTGTGTTCATACCCTTATGCACAAGACGCCCGCCATTCACAGCGGAGCAGGCAAGCAACGTCAGCTTGTCGCCGCTTTGCCTTCGTACCCGCAACGGCCCTCTTGTCCCCAAGTCTATAGTTTTGGAGGAAACAAGAAAAAGAAAAACCACGCGTCCACAAGATAATGAGGTCGCAAAAGAAAATGGCAAAACGAGTCGGCAAATGCGTAAGATCGAAAATGAAAATAAAAAAAGAGCCTGCCAGGAGTAAATCCAACAGGCACAAACGTGTGAGGCTAAACCAAAATGCTCACGGAGTTCCAATCCCGTGACGAAGGACTGAAGTTCCCGAGGAACGACATAAAAGATAGAAAAGCAATGAGCAAAGTTATAAACAGCATAAGCAGAACTAGGTCGACAGAAACGGAAAAATGCAAAACAGTTGTAGTGTACAGTGGCAGTCGTTATGCCTGATGTTGCTTCGTCAAAGCAAGTTGCTCACATCATCGAACCGGTGTTGATGGCTTGTGGTTGGCTGATGGTCATGGGCATGCTAAGAGTCTGCAGGCTGTTGAAAGCGTTCACAGCATGAGCAGATGACGTGGGTGTCATGCCGCTGTTGACGACGGAGTTGAGAGAGGTGGTGACGTAGCCGCCCTCAGAGTTCGGCGAGGCCTCCTCGACGGAGCCGAGCTGGTCTTCGCCAGAATACTCCTCCTCCTCCTCGCCGGACAGAGGGAAGTTTCCATCACCACCATCACTGCGGTCATGTGTCCGCTTGTGCCTAACAAAATTAGGTTAGTTTTCTTGCAATTGTATCAGGTATGTTGAAGACGCATCTCTTGATTGTGTTGTGTGTAGCTGTTCCGTTTGTGTGCTGTGAGGTTTGACAAGACAAGTCCGCAAAGAGTCACTCGTAATCCCCAGCGAATTGCTGTTGCGTTGAATGTGTTCTGTGTTCCATGTCCGTGGTTTTGACGGTTTGCGAATAATGCGCCTCCTTGGTCTGGAGTATGGATTATGCTTTTGGATTGACGGTCGGTTGCATGGTAATGGAGTTCTGGGTCTTGTCGTTCTTGCTTTTCGAAAACATTGCGTACACACAAACAACAATGCAAGGAATTTGGTCGACAAACATGGAAAGAGTCAAACAAAAGAAAGGGGAGGCCATACTGTGCTAGGTTGTCTGATCTGGAGAATGCCTTGCTACAGAAAGGGCAAATGTAGGGTCTTTCTTGGGTATGGGTTCTCACGTGTCTGGAAAGTTATGGTCAGATAAACGATCGGTGTGGGGTTTCGCACTCGTGTTGTTCTCGTATCTTTTTTCTGTTTCGCGTCCCTGCGCCCACTCGGTCACACAAAAGAAAAAACAAATATTCTTACCGCTTCAGGTGCTCGAGCCGCTTGAAGAGGCGACCACACGTAGGGATAGGGCAGGAGTGAGACTTCTGCGGGTAGGGACCAAGCTCCATGACCGTAGCCGAGCGAGCACGACGGATCACGTTGGCACCGCCGTTAGCCATGGGCCGACGCTGCTCCTCCGGAATAGAAACATTTCCGGCTGCAACCGGTAGCTCCTCACTAGGCATGTTGGGGAAGTCCTGCTGCTGCTGCAGAGCCATGGGGTTCAGGCCCGGGCTGCCCTCAACCGTTGACAAGGGGGTACCATGGCGGGAGAGGTCGAGCAGCTCCTTGTGCTGCTGGCTGGTCAGAGAAATACCAGAGTTGCTGTATGTGAGGCCAGGCGGCGAGTTGTCCAGCGACTCGTCGCCCTCAGCGACCGGGCCGACCGAGACCGACACCGAGCGGCGCAGGTCCGACGGGCGGTGCACAGCAGCAGCTGTGGCAGCAGTAGCAGCAACAATGGCGGACATGCCAGGAGGGATGGAAGAGCGGCGTCTCCGCTGCTTGTATGTGGGAGAACCCTCAATGACAGGCGAGTAGACATTGTTGTTGTTGTAACCGCGCGAGAACTGCGGGCCAGCAAGATTGGACGGAGGCAACTGGACCATACCGTTCAGGCCGTTCATGCCAGTGTTGAGGTGGTCGGGAATGGCAGTGTACAGACCCGTCTCCTCGTTGGCAATGTAAGCCGGCTCAGATGTGATGCCAGTAGCAAGTTGTGGCGGGGTCAGGGGCTCAAATGAGATGCCACGGTTGCCGTAGTCGTCGTACTGGGACGAGACGAAGGAGGGTGCCGGAGAGTATTCGAGAGCGTAGGCAGGCATGGACGCATGGCGCTGGTGGCCGGCAGCCACCGGGACGCCATTTTGGTTGTATTGGACGCGAGCAAAATCAGGTTCCCTCTTGACCACCTGCTGAGCCAGCGGGGGGGCCATCTGAATTGCTGCTGCTGCTGTCGTGAAGGGGACCATCGCATCCATGCCATCCGCTAAAGGGGCCATGGTCTGGGGGATCATTTGAGGCATCTGCGGCATCTGGGGAGGAGGCATAGAGTCCATCGCGCGAATGACGGGGGAAGCGGTCTGCGACTGGGGGAAGGACACCTGCTGCGCGCTGAACGAAGACGAGTTCGCCTGCTGGGCCTTGGTGAGCTGGTCATACAGCGACTGCGACGAATCGTACTGGAAAGACAGCGCGGGCTCGCTGACAGCAACTGTGGTGGCCTCCTGGCCCATCTTCTCGCGCTTCAGGTCGCGCTCAAGCGCATCGAGGAACAGGCGGTCGTGCGGGACGCTGTACCAGTAAAAGACCTTCTGCTTCTTTTGTGTCCGGATGCAGTTGTTCTTGTACAGGAAGTCGAGAAAAGGGCTCTTTGGCTCCTCAAGCGAAGCGTCGGTGCCCGATTTCAGATTCCGCAGGTCGGAGAAGATGCCCTCCTCGAATTTCTTCGAGTTCTTGACAGGGCGACCAAAGGCTTGGAATCTGAAAGAAAGGCACCGGACGATGTCTGTGCCGGAGATGTGGAAAAGTCCATTCCAGAGCACACACGACACGTACTCGCCCGTCGGCAGAAGAAAGCGGCGAATGTAGTGCTCTGGCGGCCAGTCGACCGGGGCGGAAATGAGAAAGTATTTCAGATTGTCGACCTGCTGCAGAGCGACCTGGGCGTCATGTGGCAATGCCTGCTGGGCTTCTGTGCTGAGCATAAAGGTCTCTGGCTTTTGAGGCGCCATGCCTGCATGCTGGGCGGCATACATCATGAACACCTAGAAAAGGAAAATTCAGAGAAGATGTTCGGTTTCGACGTTTGAAATTGTTCTTGATCGCACAAGTTGACACGGGTCAAGACACTCTGCTTGGAAGAAGATCTTTAAATCGCTGTGGACAAACCAGTTGTTGGGGATCAAGCAGGTAGACGTGGCAAATAATCGAGGTCGGACAAATCGGTCAGCGACTGTCGAACGGTCGAAAGAAATAAGACAAATGAAAAATAACAAAATGGCAACAAGATGTGTTGCGTATATGGAGGCTCTGCCCTGTCTTGTGGGTTTTTTGGTTGCCGTGGTTGGAATATATAATGCGAATGTGTTATATGGCTAGAGAGAGTCAACGAAGTGGCGGTCTCTGAATGCAATGTTATGGGAGATATGAAAATCGAGACCAGCCCGAAAGAGTGAGAGAGTCTGGGAAATGTGTTGCGGTCTGGAGCTTCAAGCGAATGACGCGACTGAAAAGAGAGAATTATTCCGAGGTGTGAACCGTCAAGGCGCACTGACCAGGAGTAAGGAAAGAGACAAAAGAGGGAATCGGTCTGGGAAGCAAGCTATGATGAGTAGGTCGCCTTGCCGTTGTTGCGATGCTGGCCGAGAGCCGATGAAGGGCAATGCGAGCCAAGGATGTGCCGATGTGCGAGAAACAACGGGTTTTCGAACCGGACAGGTCACCAATCGAAAAGACGGTTGGGAGTAGAGGGCAAGGAAAAGAACGAAATCATATAAAGAGTTCAACAGGAATTCCCGAAAACGGATGCTGATCAAACAGGCAGAAGGCAGAGTTGGTGGAGGCTCGCTCGATGATGGTCAAGACGTGCGACGATGCGCGTCTGAAAATGTAGCGGGGATGAGCGTCGTCTTGCGGCTCGATCAATCCAGGGCCTGTCGTCGAGAAGGCTGGATGATGTGCTTCTGGAAGTGGAGAGAGATCAAGAAAATTTAGGAAAACGCTGCATGGAAGCTTGGGGCGATAGAAAGAGTCCGGCTTTTTGTTTCGAAAAGCGTAGGGTTTGGGATTGAAGAATCGAAAAGGGGGGTTCTGTCACAGAACCTCGAAAGAACAAAAAACGATCACAAGAAAATAAAGTAATAGGCAAGGTGAAAAGATGAGAAAGGGGAGGGGCTTGAGGTTAGAGAGAGGGTCCTCCTTACACGCGATGACGAGAAAGGGGAGAAATGAGAAGAAAATATGAAGCGGATAGGAGGAGGAAGGGGGATGTTAAAGAAGAAAACGCTCTCGGGAAAAGAAGAGGGCCCTCTTTGGTCGATTGTGGAAGGAGGAGACGGGTGGGTTTATGATTTCCAAAGGCTGGGCTCGGGAAAAGCCAAAGGACGACAGGGTTGAGCACGGCAAGAACGAACGTGGGTAAACAGAGGGAGAGAGGGACGTGGGAAAGCGCGAGCGCAAGACGAGAGACAGGGAAGAAAGAGCAGGAGAGAGAGACAGAAGGAAGCGCGACCAGAGGAGTGCCAGGGAAAGAACGGTCGGATGTGGGCGTGGATGGGCGCGAGAGGAGAACAGGGGTAGGGAAAGCACGACTGGCTAAAACGGAAGACCCCCAGCGCGAGAGAGACCAGGGGTATGCGATTGCCAGCATACACAGTACTGAGTAGAGGGAAGACAGAAAAGAGTACCTCCGTAGGCATGGGCGCAGACGTGCAGACCGATGACCTTTGCTAGCTGCTGTGGGTGTGGATAGAAAAAGAGGAGTGTGGGTGGGTGGACGTGTGGGTGGGGTGGGCGGACAAGGATTGGGCGAGAGATGTCCAGCGCCTGAGCGGGAGCGGCAAAGGTACGACACGACCTACGAGTACAGAGCAGAAGGTACGATGCGAGCAAAAAGGAAGACCAGGGCGGCGAAGGAAGTCAGCGGCGAGGAACGAATGCCTCGTGTGCCGAGCATATGAAGTCTTCAAGACTCTCAGTTTTTGTCACAATGCAGGGCTTGTTAAGAATCTTACAGAGTATGGAGGCTGTGAATAGAAGGGAAAACATGAGAAGAAACGAAGTGCACATACCTGTTAAAAGCGGGTACGACGTGCAACGCCAGAAGACAACAAGTAAGGAATGTATCTTACAAGTTGGCGGAGACATTTCTGTCGAGCAGTAAGCTGCTTATCGTCGTACTTCGTAAAACATGGGCCCCCGGAACGGCCGCGAAAAGAAACAACAACAGAGCCAAACCAAAGATGCAGGAGCAGTCCTCAAAAAGACATGTCTATTGACTTGCCAGAGGGCTGTCGCTCTCATATAGCGGCCTTGGGAAGCTGGTACGCCATTACGTCGTACACAAGACCGTTCAAGATAATGTATCCAGCATCTTAGTATGCAGGTAGAATCACCGAGGCATGCGCCTAGTCCGTCGAATGCATGCTATGACAATGGCGCGCATAAGGGCACCACGCTATGATATGCACCTGCCAAATGTGCGACAGTTCTCTTGGTATCGAATGCTCATTGTCCATGAGAAGAAACGGGAACGTTCGCTGGTGCTTGGGATTTGCGCGACGCTCATTGCGCGTGCTATTTCCGTGTGTTGCCAGTTTTGCGATTAGAGCATGGCTGGTGCGTGATTGAATTGTGCAGCGGCCGACGGAAGACCGTAGTGTGAAAGTGAAATAGGCCCCTCTCTTGTTCGTTCAATTTCACATTGCGGAGACAGAGGAGCATTACGGCACGCAGTAGTCCCAACGGAGTAGTCTTTCCGTAACTTTGGCCTCTTGGTTTTGCCTTGTTCCTGACCATTTTCACTCTTCTGGCGTAGCAAAGTCGACATCGCGGACGGCCAAAGCATACCGCAGATTAACTACAAAACAAACAAACGTAAACTGGTGAAAACAAAGGGAGAAAATACAAATAAGTGACAAAAGAGAGCGACCTAACAGTGCCTCTAAAAGAAGCAGAGAAAACTCAAAGAAGAAACAGAAGTTGGGCTAAAAACGGGCACCAACACAACCACGCACATGGGCACGACGTACGCGGGACGAAAACGGCCACCAACAGACAAAAGCCAGGTAAGGTAGGTGGCTGAAGGGCAAATACTACGCCAGCGCACGTCAACTTTTCTATGTGGCCCACGGACCTGTCCGACGCAAGTATTCCGAGAAGAGGCCCCTTCACTTTGGTAATTCCTAATTTTATGGTGCAGCGAGACTAACCTCCATCTACGGCGTACAATAGTTGGCGCAGCGAAAAGGGGCAACAGGATGTTACTACGTTCTCCACGTAAGATACTCCATTCGCATCGCAATCAAATCATGCAGGGCAGTAAAATGTCTTAACATAGCACAGATATGCCGCGGAGAGGGGAGGAAGGACCTGTATTCGTAGACACCTCGCGGCGGTCGTTAAACAGGCCTTGACTTTCCTGGGGAGGACAAGGCGGTAGCAGAGAAGAACTACTTTCAACGTAACAAATAGAAGACTTTTATGTCAATTTGCTTTTGTCTGTAAGCAAAAGCACTGGAAATGACACAGTGGGCCGTCATCCCTTGCCCAAAGCAATGCTGATAAACTACAACATATCGTGCGCGTTCATTGCAACCCAGATGACTGACCTTCAGGGAGAACGAGGGCTCGTTCTCTTGTGGCCATTCCATTCTGAGTAAAGACAGTGGCACTCTTTTCTCGAAGAAGACAAATGTGCACGAACATGACCACATGCTCGTGGAACTATTCCTTTTTGTTTCTTTTCATTTCAATCATTATTATTTTTGTGGCTTGCCCGGAATCGTTGCATAGGGCGAAGTAAGACAGGTCTCATCGCGCCCATGCGCAGACGGTAATTCACCACGTCGTTCCTCGTTCGATGATCACCAAACTTTCATTTCGACTAGAACAGAAAACATGCTAGCCGAGATGTTCTGTTCCAGAGAAGATATAAGCAAATAAGAAACAAATCTATCGTGGCCGGTATGGTTATGGCGCGTTCCTTATGGAGCCCCCGTACGCCGTATTTTTTTTATACCAAACAGTGGGAATCCATTCTAGTGATTTGCAACAAGGAATGAGACATTTTAGGGACTTTTGTCGACAACATACAGTGGATGCAAAATTGAGAAAACTGCGGAGTAATACAGAAAGAAAACCCGCTATTTTGGGCAAGTGTCTTTTCTTTAGGCGGCGAGACAAATAAGGTTGCATTTCCGTGGAACCCAGCACAAAAAAGAAAGCAAAGAAAGATACTTACCCAGAAAAAGTACTTGAGAAATAGGCCGTCTCCGCTGACAATCTCCGCTCTCCTGACCGATGCAGCGCCAACCAGATTGGAGGACATCCGAGCAACAAACAAGCGGAAGAGGGTCGGACAGCACTTGAGAGCGTCTGTGATGCCTTCTTAGCACCTGGCATCCTCTGACCTGACCTGGGCGTCATACTCAGTAACCTGCCAGTGGCCTTTACTTTACGGTTTGGATTGCTACAGCATGCCCGTCGTGAGAGAGAAATTATGTTCTCCACATCACCGGGCCTTTGTATTCCGAGGAAGAAATTTTCACCAATCGAAGACAGGAAAGCCACTGGGATTCAGAACGAAGACAGGTAAGACAAAGAGAACTGCCTGAAAATGATAACGCGTCGTGACTCCTATCTAGCCTCCGTCCTGTTTCTCGTCTCTTTTGTCGCGGCCAGGATGTTGACGTTTTGGTGTTAGCGATTGTTGCCATTGACAACAAAGCCGTAAGGTTATCGTTATATGTATACGGTACCTATAGCTCGCAGTAGACTGCGAGCTAAAGTTTGTACCCGCTACAAAACCCCTGAATTCGTTTTACCCTCACGTCGCATTGCCCTTGTGGGTTGGTACGCGATTTTTCACACAGTGCACCCTCCGAATTGACTGTAGGTTTGCACGTTCTAACCAATAAAGCAGAAAGATAGGTGGGATGCACTTTTCCCGTGGGCCCGACCTGAGCCAACTGAAAATCTGAAAATAACCCAAAAAAAGTGAAAGAGACGAAATACCTGCCACCTTGTCAACTTGAAACGCGCCTGGTGCAATGCTTCAGAACTGGGCATTAAAGAAAAAAGTGGGGATGGTATGGGTAGCGCTGAAGTGACCATGCGGAAGATACTCCACACGGAGAAAGCATAAGGGCCAACTATGCATCCTATCCTTTTTTTTTGTGCATGATGTTGAAGGCGAATGAAGCCGGTTGGAGGCGATTTCTTGAGTATTGTTTCTTTTCTTTTTCGCGTTGGTCAGTGTCTGTTCTCGGCATCGTGTAGTCACAAATGGTAGCGTAACACGGTCTGTGGAGTGCCGTCTGCATCGACACTTCGGCACGTCTTTCTCATCATCCTCCATGCGCTCCGCCCTGCTCTCTGTAGCCTCTCTGCCCCTCTTCCGATCCTGCCAGGTTCGCTAGGCATGTCAACTTCTGAAAGTCGGGTCCTAGGCAGCTAGAGTCTAGTTAGATAGCAGACACGTAATAATGATGAGAGCAAGCAGGGGCATAAGGTGAGGGCGAACACCGTCCCTTTCGTCCCCCGGGGAGTTGTATTTCCCACCAGTCTGAACAAAGGTAAAAGAGACAAGAGTGGGTGTATATGCAAGCCAGAACATCCCGTTTTCTGACTGGTGCTGCCCTTGGTCCTGATCCTCAGTCCGACGGCATTTCAGGCACCAAGGCTACACAGAATAAACGGTGTTCGCACGGAAAGCAGTGGATTGCAGAGACTTTTAGTGGTTTTGACGGGGCGTCGCTCACGCCTCCCTTGCAACGTGATTACGACGCCATCCTGCACCTTCCAACCAGCCCGGACTACGTTCCTGTGTGCTACCCAGCCCCAAAGAAAGAGGGGGGGGAAAACAGTCGACGCGGTTTGTTCAAAAAGCAAATGCAGGTGCAACATCGAACCAACCAGTCATTCTTGTTCAAGGAACGGGGTGGAGAGATGAAAGACACGCAGAGGGCAAAGGATTGGGTGTCATTGGCTTGGGGCGAATAAATTGAGAAAAGCTCTTTTTGGTTGGGCTAGCCAATAACAAAAACACAAGATGCATACTGGCACCACTTGCCTCGTTCTCCTCCCTTCCCTTCTCATCCCCACCAAATCATAAGCAGAGTCTGTTGAATAGCATGCATGTTGGCCCAGCTGGCCTATACTACATGGCAATATAGCTTCTCCTTCCTCTAGTCTCAAGGTCCAGCTCAGACAAACCACGAATGAAAGTCCAGGCCATAACCTTCCTGCTAAGAACGAATGTGACCGAGACATGCGCCGTTCTCCTTCCGCTTGTCTCTTCCTGTCTATGAATCCCGCATGAGAGACTGTTTTCGTCGTGCGAGATGGGCGTATGTTGGCATGCCGTGCAGGGTAGCGAGAGCCGTTGTCGCCCAGTGCATGCGCCAAGAAAGTATGGGGCCGTTTCTTGTTCTTGGGAGGAGAAGATTCCAGCAGACAAGAAATAAATGATCCAAATGTACATTGAGCTCGGCCGTTGTCAGGGCAGGCGGCTTTCGGCGAGAGAAAACACGGAACGGGACACAATAAAAAGCAAAAGCAACAAAATCAACTTCGTGAGGGCAGGAAGGAGGTCTGACCGAGGACCATGGAAACAATGGCTTCGTGCATAAGAAAGTTGTCCGCTGGGGCTGTGCGTGGCTCATTCTTTTCTTTTGCATCTCGACGTCCGTCTCTGCCGTGTTCCGTTCGTAGTTGTTTTCTTTTCCCTTCTTTGGTCGCTTGTCCCTTTTCCTGTCCGTTCTTCTTGCCTTCCAGGCCGAAACGGGTCAAGCGGGCGGTTTGATCTTCGCCACCTACCCGCATTCTGAGACCTGAAACAAGGTGGGGGAAGGAGGGACGTGCGTTAGAAAAAATGTGGTCGATGATAGAACTCGACGTTTTCTTTCTTGGGGGGGGGGGGGTTTTGGCCGTTCCTTTGGGGCGGAAAGATCGGAGGTAGGGGTTGAGGAAGGACCCTTGCTTCAGTCGTACCTTCTGTCCCTCAGTCGCTCTTTCTGCTCACTTCGCTTCGCATGGTCGTCTCGATGCCATCTGGCCTATTCTGTTGCTTTGCTCTTTCTTCCTGTGGCTCCCTTGCGTCTCTACCGTAAATTGCCCGCTGGGAAAGACCGACCAGCAAGCGTCCGGTTCCATTAGGCTGGACCGTCTTCTGACTCTCGATGACTTTTGTGATACGACGTCAACATACTGCCGGACCTCTTTGTCTGGTGCAATACGACGTCTGTCGTAGTATTATCCCATCAGTGCAGCTCTCTGATCCCCCAAGCACCCCCTCTGACTGCACATCGTCACCCTAAAAGGCCCCTTTGCTCATCTCGTTTCGTTTTCGTTTGTTTCCTAGTCCGTCACCCCAATGTTTCCTTATTTCTTTTTTTTTGTGTGTGTGTTTCTCCTTCCACGTCTGTTCATGCGATCCCATTTTGGCACTCTTCTTTTCGGACCGGCATATCAATATTGAAAGCGGAACGTCAGGTCAATAGCACAAATGACTCAAAGTCTTCATCGTCTTAGGCAGTCCCATGCCTCAACAACGTATGCCGTAGAATGCCCCATAACGCTATAGCGGCGGGTCGATTACTGGAAATAGCATATGCCCACAAATTGGTCTTTGGAGATCAGCGTTTGGAAAAGCTTCTGAAGCTTTGTGGCCTATGAAAAGCGGTTTTCGTGGTACTTACCATGTAAAAGCGGCACGTCTCTGACTGCAATATATTCTTTGCATCAAGATTACCGCCACTTACGCAATTTATTTGATTATTTTCGGTCGCTTGTCCATTGACTAAAGAAGCATAACTTTGGTTTAATGTACGATACGGTTCACAGATTTGTAGAAGAGAATCCAAACGGCGGTTGTTCGAAACTGCCTCGCTCACCTGCCCAGGAAAAATGTTTCATAGGAAGCTTCCTCGTGTTCTTGAAACTATCCCATCTTAATGAGCTGTTCTTCTCCGCCTGGTCTGTCCAGATTGCCCTCTCCTCCCAGACCGTTTTTAACATTTTTTATCTTGTACAGTATTCCTGCCCGAGCTTTGCCCTTGACAGGAAACTTCGTACGAGGCTTATAGTAGGATCGCACATTTGCGTCTCGTTCTTCTCTCTCGGAGCTCTACTTCCAAGTAATGCGCTCTTGTCTCTTCGGTGGCCAATCACCAGCTTGAAAAGCTAGCTCGATTCTTATTTTTAAACTTTTGTCCGATGCTATGATTTCCTCCACTCTCGTTGCTTGTCTCGTGTTTATTCAGTATTGAACCCCTGTGTTTCCCACGCTTTTCCCGGCGATACGCATCGGCACGAAAGCCAGTCTCTTCAGAAACACAAAAATAAAAACAGACCTAATGTAAAACAAGGGCGGGAAAGGGGGCGGGGTGACAGCTCTTCAGATTGATGATTGGCTCCCTCAGACTTTTGGGTGTGGTATGACTTGCACCAGGCCGGCGGGAACGCGGCGAGCGATTCGGTGGATTTTGGTGGTTGTCAATGTTGGTTGGTGGTCGTTAGTCCTGTTCAGGTGCTCATGTGCTATTTGTGGCTTGCCGCTGTGCTGCCCGTTGCCGTTGCCGCTGTGCTGATGCCAACCGGCCCACACAATGCACCTGGTGCCCACAAGTTAAATTGGAGGCGTGGGAACTGTGCTGTGGCCTGGCCGCGGCCCATTGTCGCTGTCAAAAGGGCCTCGTCATTTGAGGCCCACTGTCCTGTGGCTGGAACGGCCAGATGAGAGACTGCGAATCCCTCCTGCAGGTCATTCTCACTTGATACTGGAGAAGAACTGGTTCTCTAATTAACCTTGACTTTTTTGTGACGCAAAAAAAGCCAGAAATAGAAACCTGCGGAATCGCTGCTTCACCAAACTCCCGATTTGCTGTTCACAATGTTTTGATGCAGGTGCCAAATTGTACTTTTCTGCTCTTCTTATTTGTCGTTTTGCTACTGTTTTTTTATTTTGCTAGCCGATGTGGTCACAGCCACGGCCTTTGAGCCTTGTACCTTACTGTCTTGTTTTCATCGGCTCAACCTCGCGTGTCCATGGACCATCTCCATGGCCTGTCTGCATGGTCTTCATTGCACAAACAACGCAGTGAGGGCACAAAGGTATGCTGTAAGACGATGCATGCCGCCCCAGCGCATATGTGCTGCAGGAACACTATGGAAGACAATAATGGTCAGCGTGACGAGGCGATGCTTCCGAGCTGCGTGGAGAAAGGTGGGATGAAGCCGAGCGCATGCAATGGAACATTAGGTACACGTCAAATCTCCCAGAAACAAAAATAGACTGGGTGTGAGAAGATATTTCCAATAGGCACAAGAAGGGGAGGAAGAGCAGGACGTGATAGGCATCACGAGATGAGACCGTCCCTCGTGCATCTGCGCTTTGTCTGACCAGCAACACGGAGTGCGTCCAGAATAGGCAGTTTGCCTGCCTGACGAGGGAGGGAAGGAGCCGCGGATCGCCATTTGTGTTCAGGGCCGCACGAACAAGGCAAAATTGGAAGGAAAGCAAAAGTTGTCAAAACGAAACAAACCGAAATACGCCGGTTTGTTTTTACTCCATCCCGAGTACTCTGTACAACGTACTCCTTCCCTTCCCTGGGCTCTCTCAAGGTACCATTTGATCACGTACGACCTGCTCCGGGCCTCTTAACATCGCGTAATATGCTGTAGTCCAAAGATTACGATCACAGATTCGAGCAGGGAGTCTGAAACAGAACAGAAAAAGGGGGCAGGCGGTCGTCTACTCTCGTTTCATGCGATCGGTGAAACATTGTAATTACTTAGTCAAGGGAGGACGCGATGTGCTACCAGGCGAATACGAACGTGTCTGCAAGGCGTTCTTGCGATAGAAAGATGCTCTTCGACTCCGGACAGCGGATGTGATCTTGCCTTTTATGCCATTCTTTTGTTTTTTCTGTATGTCGTACTTTCCTGCTGTGTAAATTAAACATGGTAATGAGAAGACGCCCCCTTGCGTTGCTGCAATCGTTCTGGCTGGAGAGCCCCTCCCCTCCGATCGCGACGGGACTCCCGTCGGACAGGCGCCTACGCTGATTGGTGTACCTGAATTTAGCGTGTTTTCCATTCAACGGGGCAAAGTTAGTGCCAGGTACAAGTGTCAGACCATGCACGGAAGGAACAGAGCAAGACAAGAAAAGAAAAAGCAAGAGATCCACGTTTTTTTGAGTCTCCACTGCTCTAAACTAAAACTTTCAAGAGACGACATCTCAGTTCGCAATCAGAGTTCTCCCCTTCAAACACTGTGTATCTCCACTGTCCGCTATCAAAATGCTGCGCAGAAGGATCTAGACCTCTGGCGAAGTGGGCTGGCCATCGAGATCGCCAGCCAGGCATACTTCTCTTTTCGTTTTCTCTTCGATGAAAAACATTGGGCTTGCGTTCTTTCTTTGTGCTTTTGTGCGAACCCTTTCTAAAGCCGTCGTTCCGAGTCCGAGCTGGTATTCGCCCCTACTCCGCAGACGAACCGCATCCAGAACATTGAACAAACTAAGCTTGGGTTCCTGGACCCCTCGTCATCATCCTTGCGCTCGTTGCCATCCTTTGTCTCCATCGTCTTTTCATCATGCATCTCTTCGATACCAACGAACGGACCGATCAATCCACAGCCCAAAGACGCCATACGATATGCATGCTGAAAGCGATTGACTGCGGACGAAATGCGTGGGCCTGTCCGTTATCCCCTCGAGTCCACCTTCAAGTCGACAACATGAAACGAAGCGCCGAAAAGGGGCCCAAAAAGGCATTCCTGTTGTGCTGTCTTGGCCTGCACCGGAGTAGCAACGACAGACGAGGGAGGAGTGGAACCCCCAGCCGTATTTGTTTTCCACGCCGGTCGTGTGAGAGTGAGCACGGTTCTCTACGGAGAAGCTAGGAGGGTCATGCCTCACAGAAATCTCCACTTTTGTATTCTTCGATTCCTTTTCTGGTATTCATGTCCTCGTCCCTTGTCTTTCAGCTTTGGTCACTTTGTTTTCCAGAACACAGACCTCCGACACCGTCCGGCAGTACAAGTTACGGGGTTTCTAAGTAGACATGCGTAAGCAATACACTCCACGGCCACCGACGTCGTATTATCTCCGTAAGCCATACAAGCACATTCCATGAACCTACGACAGCTGTAAGAGCTGACAGACTGTGAACGGCCCCAAGACCTTGACTCTTCGATGTTATAAAGTAAAATGGGCCGGGGCGTGTATTGGACTTGATATGTTTGAGTGTACTAGAAATCAACCGAGTAAAACGTCGTAATGTCAAAATACCCAGTCCCATTTTTCACGGCACACGGTTTGGATTAGGCATCTTTCGATTCGCTTGGTCTCTGGGGATGAAGAATTGTCCTCCCGTCACTTTTGTTTGGCCTCGTCACCGTCGTCAGCGCCTACTGAAATCAGATGCCTGGTCGATGCACCATATTTAATCACTTGCAGAGTGTTTCGAAAACGAGCAACGGTCAGCCATTGTGTATCTAGACTATTCATCATCCATGTCCAATTCACAGCACTGAGCGTTTAAAGAGCCATCAATAGCAATAACACAGGCGGTTCGCAAGGCCCGAAGAGAGCCAGCGGCAGGCCAGACAGGTCGCATAAACGGCCTTGCCATGTCAGCATCACGGCTATATTTACGCAGCAAAAGTTCAAAGATCCCCCCCTGGAGAACAATCGTAGTCCAGATGTCGATTGGTGGCATTCGACTGATGTCCACGCGCCGGCAAACCAGTCCTCTTGTGTGTGGCGTTTATGACGTTGTTCTTCCTTAACATATCGAAACAGCCTTTGCGGCGTCCTTTT